TGTACCAGTCCCGGTATCCTGCCACTGGGACAGATCTAGGGCAGGGTAATAGACACTGGCCAGACCTGCTCGGAGATGGTGGGCGAACGGGTTGTCGGAGGCTAACCTGTAGAGACTGTAGCTGCTCGAGGGTATCTTCCAAACTTTTCAAAGAAGCGGGTTTTAGGGCCTCAGTTTGAAACGAAACAGTTCGTTTGGGGAGAATGGGAGCAGACTGTGCCTCAGCTGGTGGCACCAACTTGGGCACTGGCGCTTCGACGAGAGAGGTTGGGCGTGGGCCTTTTTTGACTGATGGTGGGTCAATCGTTGCCACTTTGTGTGCAAGTTGTGAACGGGGTGCCTGGTTAGCTGGCTCCTGGGTAGTAGGTGGATTACTTGTGGCTATAATTGGGCCACTGGATTTTGGAACAGAGACCGGGGTAGGTGGGCTTGTCTTCTGTGCGTCTGGGGAACCACTGGAATCTCTCTGTTCATGTTTGCGCCTCAGCTTCTCTTCCAACCTCTCAGCCAGGCTCAATGTTCTCGGGGATGCCGCGGAAGGGGTTTCACTTCCTTTAGGCTCCGGGTTTGGTCCTGGCTTGTTACCATGATCGTTTGCCTTAGTTACAGCTGAGTTAGGTTGCAGGGCACTAGTATTGATGCTCGCCGGCCGCTTTGGGACAGAAGAGGTAACAGGCTTGTTTGGAAGGGGAGCAGTGTGCACCTGAGGCACCGGTGTCGCGGAATCCTGAGGCTTTGGATTAGCCGGGAGTGGTTGCTTGACATTAGTTGTTGACTGTCTCGCAGGTTGGTCAGGTTTGACAGCCCACGACTCCTTTGTGACGGAAGCAGACTTGCTTGGGAACGACGGTGCAGGCACTGGAGAAGACCGCTTGACAGCTTGCTGTGGGGTTGAATTGACTGGAAGAGGTTGCTGGACCTTAACTCCTGTGGGTCGGTCAGGTTTGATGCTCCCCGACGGCTTTGGAACAGATGAAGCCGTCTTGTTTGCCAAAGAAGATGTACGCATTGGGGGAGGCGGCTTCGTGGCCTTTACTGGGCTTTGGGCAACCTGAGTAGGCTGCTGGACTTTGGTTCCCGGCGGGTTAGTAGGATGGCCAGACACGGACCTCTTTGGAATGGTGGGCGCAGGCTTGCTTGGCAACGAAGAGGTTCGCACAAGGGTAGACGGCTTTGAAGGTTTCAATGGGGCTGGGTTGGAATTTGCCTTGTGCAATGCTGGGGGGCTGTCCTTTTGTGCCTTGGCGCTTTGAGGACTAGAGTTCACTGGCTGAGAAGGCAATGGCCGATGGCCAGTTGTTGGCCTACTGCTCTGTACTGGTTGAGGTGCTGGTACGCGTGGCTGGCCTCGAGGGGATGTGTCTCGAGACATGGGTGGTGTCGCCAAAGGCGCTGGCCTGAGCTGAGATCCTTGCTGTGTGGCATTACTAGCATCGAACAGGCAGGGCTGTTTGGATTCCGAGGGTGGTGTTGGTGGTCCAGAACTATTAGCAGTAGAGGTGCTTCCGTGGCCATAACCTCCTAGGGTCTCGGTCTGAACGATGGACGTGAGTGAGAACGTGTCAATGATCACCGGGTATTGATCAATAGATCCTCTGGCGCAGACTCCTTCGATTCCAGGCTTATCTCCTATCTTGGTCAATCCGTGTAGCTCCCGAGAGAGCGATTCAAACTCGTCTTCCACCGAGGGCGACGGTGGCCACCGGGGCCGCTTGTTCCAGAAAAACATGGTTGATCACAGGGAAATAACCAAAAAAGCAAGACAAGAAATAGAAAAGCAAAACTCCGGCAGGCACGATGTTGACAGTCCAAGACGAAGGGAAATATTGTACAGTTGCTTGGTGCAGCCAAGGGCTATCCTGTTGCAGCGGCGCGGTGGATTAGAAACTCTTTCCTGGAAACTGGCATGTTATGTTCGCCGTGACGAACTCACTTGGAGTTGCGAAGAGAACACGGTATATAAGCCCAGGTTGGATCTGGGTGAGACAGATTGGGCCGCAACTGAGAAGGCAGAGTGAAAAGAATTGACCGGAAGTGTGCTTTTTGAGTCCTTTGGAATTATTAATATTAATTAGCGGGATATTGGAGGTGTTTTAGTCTATTTGAAAATATAAACCAGAAAAAAGGGGAAAGTATGACAGTGTATATAAACCCCAATGAGAACCTGGTCGGGCAGCGCCTCTCGAGATGATGGCCCTATCAGGGCATCAGCCAAGCATGGGGCGGAAGGCGACGAATCAGGCCATTGGGGTATGAAACACGGAGGTTGTTGCCAGACGCTGGATAGGAAGCTGTTTGGCTCTCTGCAGGCCAAATCAACAGGCACCGAAGTCAGAAAGCCACAGTCTTTGGTCGAGACCAATATGATAGACGTCCTTGCTGCACCTATATGCGAGTAAGTGTGGGACGAAGGCATCCATGGCGATGCAAAGGCGCCAGATCAGCCAATTTTCTTTAGATACCAGCTGAATCCCTAGCGGATCAACCAATAGCAATCGTTAAGAGTTTAAAACAAAAAAGAATGTGGGTAAAGGTTGCAGGACGGCCGCCATATTGTGGGGGAGACAGTTGGCTCCAGCCTGCCCATACGTAGAAAGGCGAGGCGAGGCGGTTGAGTGAAGCGCGTCAGCCTCTTTCATCATTAGTTTCGATCATTGGTCCTTGTTGGGCCTCACTGCCCCAGACAAGTCGCCTTCTGCGATCCCTGTCAGTCAAATTATAGGGTCCATGACGGCATTCGGCCGTTGTTGTCATGGAAGACTATGATGCCATTCCGGCCGTTGTAGGTAATTGCCAGCGCTGCGTTGGCCTGAAGCAAGTGCAGATGACCTCGGAGTCATTGTGGACTCTGAAAAATGTTACGCAATTAATAACGGATAGACCATCGATGATGGGAGTAACACAATGGTAACTATACAACAGTTGGGTTGTGATGAGATCGTAGAGACGATCTCGTTTGCTTGGGCATCATGTGTAAATACATAAACCGTGATCGTGAATTAAACCTGACTAATGGGATTATGCCAGAGCATGCACAAATCCCATGATCGGAGTTGATCCGTCGGGGATCAAAAGGAGGAGAGAAAAAAGCCGACGGCCCTCTTCCGATGGCGTCATTCCCGACGGAAGATCACTTGGACTCAGTCATAACAAGAGGGTCACCAAAGAATGAAAAGAAAAGATTGCAAGGAGTATGATAGCACTTGCTATCAATTAATGGTATCAGTACTACTTAGCTAATCGAGCGAGATTGTAGATTCCTGACATCTCTATAAACCACGGAATCGATCCGCGATATGGAAACTGCGGGGAAGAGAAAGTCATGGATGATGAAGGACATTCAGATGACGAGATAGCAGTCGGGATGACAAATCAACAACAGTAGTGATTTATGAAATGGTACCGGATTGCAATAAGACCCTTTTCGTGCTCGTACGTAAACCAAAGTATCCAACTACCCACCTGGTGGTGCTTGTTAAATTATTATCCGGAAGCCCCTCCTCGAATGTATCTTAGCCGCTTCTTCGCAAGTCGTCTCACTTCCCTTCGTACAACTGCCACGAGGGCTACTTCACCAAGTATTGCCCGTCTCTCTGCTATCCGTGCTCAACTCAGTCCATCACCCATCTCACCATCTTCCTATCAAGCCCGCGCCATGTCCGTCCCATCGACCATGAAGGCCGTCATCGTCGAGAAACTCGGCGGCCCTGAGGTCCTCGAGTTCAAATCCGACCACCCCGTTCCGACCCCGCAGGAGGGCCAATTGCTCGTCAAGAACAACATCTCCGGTGTAAACTACATCGATACCTACTTCCGGACGGGTCTGTACCCATCTGCCAAGCCCGAAATTCTCGGCCGTGAAGGCGCTGGCACCGTTGCCGCATTGGGCCCGGGCCCTAACCCGTACAATTTCAAGGTCGGCGATCGCGTCGCCTGGATGACCACAGGCGGGTATGCCGAATACACGGCCGTCCCGGCGGCCAAGACCGTCAAGATCCCCGACGAGATCACCGACGAGGATGCCATAGCTGGTTTCCTGAGCGGCTTGACGGTTATCACCCTGGCCAAGGAGACCTACGCGGTGCAGAAGGGCGACTGGGTGCTGCTGCATGCAGCAGCTGGTGGTGCTGGGTTCCTCATGACTCAGGTTCTCAAGTCTCTCGGTGCCAAGGTGATTGGAACGGCAGGTGGTCCGGAGAAGGTTGCCTTGGTGAAGAGCCTGGGCGCAGATGTGGTTATCGATTATCGCAGTGAGGAGGGTAAGGACTGGGTTAAGAAGGTCAAGGAAGTGACTGATGGACGGGGTGTTGATGTTGTTTATGACTCCGTGGGAAAGGATACCTGGGAAGGAAGCTTGGAGGCCGTCAAGAGAAAGGGTACTATCGTTTGGTTTGGCAATGCCAGTGGCCCGGTGCCCCCTCTGCCGCTTCAGTAAGTTCATTTGTTTTGTGCTCACCATGGTCTCATACTAATCGATTGAACAGAAAACTGTCTCCTAAGTGTGTCAAGGTTGCTCGGCCACAGCTGTTCGGCTACATTGAGACCCGCGAGGAGTTTGAATTCTACGTCAATGAGTTGTTCGGCCTCCTTAAGTCTGGACAGCTGAAGGTTAAGATTCACAAGGTTTATCCTCTGGAGCAGGTTGCCCAGGCGCATACCGATTTAGAAGGCCGGAAGACCACCGGAAAACTTCTTCTCAGGCCATGATTTATGCACAGGACATATATGTAATAAGAAACGTTATATCTAGTACAGTTATGAGAGTCGTACGCGTACGGAGGATTTATACCATCATGATATCTTCACTATCTCGAGTTGTGCAATGCTTTAGAATTAGTGCAAAAATAAACTTGCCATAACACCAAAATAACAACATTAGCTTAGGATCGCATTAGGAGAAGCATGAACTGTAATCAACACTGCAACCAAGAAGGGGACGTTATGGACACGCTTAATGTGGAGACTTTCGGATCAAGTGGACGCTCAAGACCGATACCAGCTTACAGTGTTATCTCGTTCTTCTCAACACCAGTACCGTTCGACTCCTCGATCTCCTCAGCATCGTCCTGTTCTTTTCCAGTCAAGTCAACCGACTGCTTATAGCCCAGCATAAGATCGTTGCAGAGAACAGTGTAGATTGAGCTGTAAACAGTATGAACGTCTTCAAAGAAGTTAAATCCGCAGTTGAGTTCCCACACCGGAGTGATCACTTTCATCTTGGGATAACAGAGCTTGAGCAGATTTTCTTCCAGGAAAAATTGAAAATCAGGCATTGAAGCAGTCCCAGTTTCCCATAACAGTCTTTCCTCTGCACTTAGATCATAGCAAGGCTTTCCAGGATCACGGTACGCTTTACCGACCATTCGTCCAACAGGGTTGAGGTCAGGTGCGTGTTTTCTGTAGAATTCACGAATCTCTGGCGTGGGAGGGAAGACTGTAATCACCTCGAAGCCGTGAATATCTGGCACAAGCGTCGAATGCAATGTACTCTGGTTAGCCAACGTCTGGAATCGAAGGGCCATGGCATTTGTTCCTGAACCAGCCATCGCGAACTTGACCACTTTACGCGCGACGTCGTTTCTCATTAGAAAGTTTCCGTTCTTTCGGTTATTCCAATTATTTTCCTCGACATTCACATCGTAGAAGAAGCCACCGAAGAGCGTAGAGCAGGCCTTGTTGAAATCTCCGGGGCTGGAGGTTGCGAACTCCTGATTCTGCCACAGTTCTTTGGCTGCGATGTCACACGACCTGCGCGCCTCTTCGATATTCTCTTTGTACTCGGGGCACACCTCATGGTAGAGGAGATAGGAGAGGAAATTTCGGATCGTGACAGTGGCTAGCTTCACCATGTCCTCGGTTTCAGGATTGAAAAAGTATGGGAAGTAGGAGGTCCTGCCAGATGTTAGCCATACCAACCATACCTAATTGTAAACTAGGTTATCTTACAGGTATCCCTTCACGACAGTGTTGAAGTCGACTGTAAGCTTTGTACACTCCTGGCGGATGTTCGCCTGTCCCTTTGCAATAAGAACTTGCTCACTATCAAGTTTCTGGAGCTCTTGTTCATCCACTCCGGTGAACATCTTGGGACCGACATCGACGCTCCGTATGCTAGATACCTCATGAACACCTCGCGTCTCTCAGGATCCATGCGACGATTGTTCTGGTATCGCAGGATGGCGGCCTCAATGCGACTAGGACTGGATTAACACTTGGAGATCATATGACCACAACGAGAACTTACTGGATAAGAGGTCTGGAGCTTTTCCATAGCATCTTTATTAGTTACAGTCTCACAGCTTAACCGTCTAACTCACATGTCATAGAGCTCTTTCTCTTCCTCATACTCCTTTGGAGTGATGGGTGCATCGACATAGTACTCCTCAAAACCGGTAGGCTTGCCCTATACGTAGTCAGATAAAATCGATGAGTCTAGGTAGACAGGGAAGTACTTGACTACCTTTCCGTGCTTGGCTTTAGACTTAGGCTTTCTCTTTTTCTTTTTCTTGGGCGCAACTAAGTCCACAGTAGCCATATTTTTCTCTTCGTCAACAATAGACGAATGCACAGAGTTGGCTAACTTAGCTTGTTCATCTGCAGCCTGGTTAGGTTGAGTCAAGGTAGTGTCACCATCGCCCGCAGCTGGCTGAGAGGTAGAGTCAGCTTGGTCTTCTGCAGCCTGAACAGGAGTAAGCAGGGACGATTCTCCACTGTCAACTTTTGTCTGCAGCTTAGACATGGCCGCACTACCTGCAGTCTTGACGGAATCGGTTATAGTTGCTTCTCCGTCGTCAAGACGCGGTTTATGGGAGGAGTTGGCTTGGTTGTCAGTGACCTCCATAGGATCAGTCACAGTAGGCATTCCTGCTTCGGCAGCTTCCTGGTGAGTAGGGTCCGGTTCATTGCCTATAACCTGATGAGGACCAGTCAAGCTAGCTCCACCGCTGCCAACAGCCGACTGGTGGGAGTCATTGACGTCCTCAAGGGGACGGAGGGGCAGGCTTTGAAGAGCCTTGGTATCCTTAGAAGCCATAGTGAGATTAGTGTCCTCTTGGCATCGGAAAGAGATACTCAGTGTAATGGGGGAGAGAAAGAAACCTTGGTCTCAAATTAGAACCAGGTGGGAGACTAGGAGAGATGAAAGAAGAAAGATCGAGTGAATGTCCCAAAACAGGGAATGGTGTGCGCCTAGGTATCAAATACTATGAATGTCTGCTCACTAACAAACAGTCAGATATCCGGTACTCTGCAGCTCGTTTGCAAGTTTGTGTTTCATTTCTATGTACCTATCTTTTATATTGTTTGTATGTAGTACAAAAGGCCCATTAGCCCGTGGTAAGGGATATTACCCACAGTGAAGTCAGCCTTGCTCTTTCACTATTATTTGTTACTGTCCTAAGGTAGTAGTGATAAGAACAATCACATGAATTGGTGTAATTATTTAGTATTAAAATCTAGAGACTCAAAGCTGTGAAATATAAATAACAAATAGTATGGTATATTGATCATCTTCCATCTTTAGTATTGCCACTGGTCACGATAGACTACTCGGGCCGTTCCGCTGTTGAGCCTTATCAGATCCAATCTGAAATACTGGCGTGAATGAGTGAATGCTTTAGACGAACTTGATGGAGGACCCTCATACGTGTTGCTATGGGAGACTTGCCTTAAGATTAGAACAGATTTCTTGCTTGTTCTTAGCCTTCTAGGGGATGTTAACCAGAGGGAAATGCCACATAAACCAATCATTATTGATTATACCTTGGTATTAGTGCATATTGTAATTCTTAAGCTATCAAAATGGATATCCAGCCTGCGGACTATGATTCAATGATAGCCCGATACTGCAGGGTAAATTGTAGTCTACTTCTTAGAATAGAGAAAACCTCTTACGCCACTGATATACACCCACCCAACACATAATTCACTTGTGGCCCTAGTCCTTCTCCAGACCGAAGTATCATATCACACAGTTGGTCAACCTTCTGTGCTCTTTACATCACTGCCTGAAATGTTCCGTGGATGTGATCAGTAATCAGGATATATCTACCACCATGCATCGCTTGTTTCGAAGAGAAAGAGCGAAGCCAGCAAATCCATACATCAACGGATGGACGTTTACTGTGCAGCAACATGTTGCCCCTCCTCCTACTCCAATGAGCGATTCGTTCGGCTTGAACAATAAGGCTGGCATGAAGGAAAGAAAGAAGCTTAATCCGGTCCAACGATGCATAAAGCACCCTCACTGCGAGGAACTGAAGGACCATTTAGTATTGAGTTACAAATCTGCAAGATGCTACAGGTTGGCAATGAGCAAAATGCTCAGCTGGTTCTCGTTGAAGTCATTAGTGATGTGCCATTACAAGGCTTGGAAAAGGGAAAGCGAGTGGTGGCGAAGATATATGACCCTTTGTACCTGGATGATGACGGCGGCTTTTTGGACCCTTTCGTATGTGTTGACAAACACTACACCCACGAAGTAGCTGCATACATGGAATTTTCAGACGTCCAGGGCTCCATGGTCCCGGAATACTATGGCTCCTTCTCCTTGGGGGTGTCTGTCGACGAAAGCACTACACGCGACGTCCGTCTCATCCTCATTGAATATATATCTGGGGCTTCCATGCGGGACCTTTCCCCCCAAGAAGTACCGAGACGAGACCGACAGGATATCATGAAGGCTATTGTTCAGTTCGAAACTTTAGCGTACACCCGGGATATTGTTCTCCCAGACCTCCAACCGAGAAATGTCATGGTGACCAACAGCTCTACCCACGAAAAAGCCGTTTGTATTGATTTTGGCGATGCACTCTTCGGCCGTGGGAGTTCTTTCAACAGTTCTGTGATTGACGCGCATCTCCTCCCAGGTACTTATATCTCACCCTTGCTGCGATGGCATGCAGTCTTCAGAACTCGCATGCTTGATTTTGCCGGTTGGATTGATTGGGATTGGCAACCGTGGCTTGAGACGGAATTCAAGCATACAGCTTTCACGATTACTCCAAAAATTCAAGAGATATTCCTTCCAAGTCGTGTGTTGGAAGCTTGGTGGCAGTCTCGAAAGAATAGGGGGCTTTATTGACTGGAATTCTTACTTTACTGGAATGAATAACGGGTGAAAATTGGGCATCAGGTATTGCACGAGAATGGAATAGCATCGTTGGACTAAGTCTAATCACACTTCCTGGATTTGAATGGAGTCAATCTGGGACTTTGTTTCTTGTCATATCCTGTGGCTTCTGGTTTTGATTTGAACAGCTGGTTCGCCGACAGCGCTTAGCTATATGGTGTATTTCTGCTGGCCCCAGAGCAGTCTCTTCTTCTTTTTTTATTATCTTTATTTGTCGCGTTACTCTCTTCTCAGGATAATCTGGTTTCACGCAGTGCACATTGGGGCTTGTCTAGGTGAATCTCGACCATAATAGCACGATGTGAATATCTATTCGAGTGAGACTGATCAAGAATTAAATAAATAAGATAAAGTCGATGTTATATATTATATGTGATATGCAATAAGCTGAGGAGGATACGTTTCAATTGAGTTCCTGGATGGTGGACAGAATGCAGCGCTAGCATGGAAAGGGAAAAGATGTCAGTGCTGGCGCGACTCCGAGGTTCCACGTTTTTTAAACCTTAGATCCGTGACTTCCCCATAGTTTTGTACTAGCAAACTTGCCCCCTAATTGCCGATCATTAAATTAATATTGCATCGTTAAGCCCTTCTCTTGCTTACCTTGTTTGTCTTTCCTTTAGTGTCCTTCCTGTTGCTCCTTTCCCCTTTCATTTTCTCCAAATTAATATTCTACTTCATCCAACCCCCCTGTCCTTTATCTTATCCAACCTTGATCCCATCCTTTGACCGTGTCACGATCTTTGCAATATTGCCCTAGAATTCTGTCATCTTACCTGCATAATCATTACTTTCGTGCCGTTTAATTTAGCAAAAATTGCCATTAAAATGCCATCTTCGTCGAGGTCAGATAGTTCCAAGGCTCGAAAGCTGGACAACGACAGTTTCGTCGCTTTTGACCACGCTGCGGCTGGACAGTAAGTTCTCTATCCGCCTCTGCTCCCGGACCAGTCAGGAATACCCATGCAGCAATAGATGGTCAGGCATATGGTTCTCAAATCGCATACCAGACTGTACATTTTAGACTTCTAAATATCGAAAACTAACTATAATAGTGAGGGAGTTCGCTGTACCCCCTCGGGCTCTTTCATCGCGAAGCCTTGCACTCCCGCCGAGGTTGCGTTCTACGAGTCCTGTGCCCTCCACCCAGCTTTCGCCGAATTTATTCCGACCTACATCGGAAGTTTGACCTCCGCAGAGGGACAACAACAGCCGCTTGCACTCGCCAGTGCCCAGCCGGGCGCTATCGTTCTTCCTAGCTCCGATTCGTCCGAAGTATCGACCGCTGTCGCAACCCCCCAACCGAACGGAGGAGCAAATGCGCCCGACGCACCAGCAACCGTGGAACAGAATTGGGTTCCATCGGGTGGAAAGAAGATCGACACAGGATTGTCAATCGTGTTGGAGAATGTGGCATGTGGATTTAAACGACCGAACGTCTTGGACGTTAAATTAGGCGCAAGATTGTGGGCGGACGATGCGCCGCTTGCCAAGCGAGCGAAGCTGGACAGTGTGTCTAAGGAGACGACCAGTTCCAGTTTGGGGTTCCGAATTGCCGGGATGAAAGTGTGGACTGGTGTTAATGGGGAGAACGACGAAGGGGGTAAGACCGACCCGTATGCGACTAAATATGAGGGCTCAGAGGGCGTAAAGGGCGAGGTCATTGAGAAGGACGGCTACAGGCGTTATGATAAGTGGTACGGACGTGCGTTCAGTGACAAGAATGTTAAGGAGGGGTTCGAGACTTTTCTTGCTGGCGCGAAGGCTGGTTCGGTTGACCGCTCGAAACTTATCGCTCGGAGACTGGCCGATGAACTAAAGAACCTGCAGGAGGTTCTCGAATCCGAGGAGAGTCGGATGTATTCCGCAAGTGTCTTGATCGTCTATGAAGGTGACCCAGAGGCGATGGAGATTGCGCTTGAGGAGGAAAAGAAGGTCAAAGAAAACCCCAAAGAGGACCCCGAGGAGGAAGAAGAAGACGATGAGAGTTTTGAGCTTCAGCTCCAGCAGGATGGCTCTTTCCCAGTGGTGGATCTCCCGATCCAGAAAGATGGTCTACCTCAGCAGGCCATTAATATCAGCATCGATCCGGAAACCATTCAGTTGGGTGATTCGGATATTGAAGAGGACGAGGAGGAGCCTCCGAAAGTGCATGATCTCCGTCTGATTGATTTTGCGCACGCCAGCTGGACACCCGGCCAGGGACCGGATGAAAATCTACTCAAGGGAGTACGAAGTCTGGTAACATTCCTCAATGAGCTTGCTACAGAGTAAATGTACAAGGCTCCATCTGGACATGTATCCAATAGTCGCCGGCGACTGGATATAATACTCGTGCTGTTTACTAATGTATTAGTGAACTACCAAGTAGTGTCAGGATGCTGCCTTCCATGTTGAAGATAGATCTCAGCAGCAGTAAGTAGAATAAAGCGATAGCTAATTCCCTTGTAAGATCGAAGTAAACCATCTCCTTCCCGCATTAACATCCCTCAACCCAGCACTATACACAACCGGAACCACTAGCTAGCACATCAATTGCTTGCCCTTCCCAAGCTTGTTTCACCCTCTTGATAGACTCTCCGATCTCCAGTGGAACCAGAACCTGTCTCGAGCGGTATCTAACGCCTAATAGCTGGAATCCGGAGTGGCTCGCTTTTCAACATCCTAGGATATTGAAACGCGCTGACTAAGCCGATAGAACGCCGCTCCGAACAATTTGTACCGGAACTATCGCAACAGCGAAACCAAACCCAGCAGCTGCCAACAAAATGTTCCCCACGCGTGCCCTCCTGGGGCGTTCCGTCTGGAAAGGTGAGTTCTTTCTTTCCAAGCCCACGGCGATGACAGGCCCAAAGACAGACATAGACCCGCTAACACAATCCCATCGCAACAGGCCCAAACATCGTCCCGTACGTTCATCCCATCAATCAATAACCCTCGCAGACTCCCGAAACAAGATGCCCATAGACATTCGAACTCGGGCCTATTATATATACGATATTGAATAACTGACAGCGCTGGAATCCCTTAGTCTCCCTCTCCCCCGGAAACTCCCTCCTCCTCCCGGCACACCCCCGATCAAGACGCAAAAGCGCGGAGCTACGATTCTCCCTAACTTCGTGGGCCTGCGATTCTCGGTGCACAACGGGAAGAACTACCAGGATGTTTTGATCACTGAGGAGATGGTTGGACGGAAGCTTGGTGAATATGTCGCGTATGTGGCTTTTTCTCTCTCTTTCTTTTGCCGGTTTGTCGATGGCTGACTTGTCTTGGTGTGGATCTACAGGACTCGGAAGAGGTTTACGTATAAGCAGTCGAAGAACAAATAGATGATTGGTTCTGTGCGGTTGTGTGCTCTGTGGGCGACGGGATGGATAATTGCCTGACTTGAGGTCTGTGGGGAGGATTTACTATTCTCGATTGGCGTTTTCGTATTCTTGTATATCTATGTCGCATATGTTGAATGTAAAATTAGCCGTTACTGTCACTGTGGAGTCAGGATAATCAGTATCATTGAGTCTCCATCTTATGATCTATTCTTCGGTTCTTTAACGCATCAGGAAAGAAAAAAAAGACATGGATTCACTGTCGACATGAAGCAGTGCAAATTGGATTATCTCCGTTGATTCTTCACCCTCCCAAACGCCTATGCAAAATCTCGTGTGGTAAAATTTTAGAAGCCCAAATGCAGGATATCGTTTGTCCCCAGCCCAGTATTTACGCCAGTAAGCAAACCCCTTCCAATTAAAGTCGACGTTCAATCTTCAGTCGACAGCGATCTAGAACGTAATCTCCAAGATGGGTATCGCCATTCCCAAACTAGTCGTCGACACATGGAGTACAGTCTCCTGCGCGCGTTGTCCCAGCATGCGGAGGCAAGAATCTGCTGCCATCTCGCGTCTCAGATTGCCCAGTCAACGGCCCATGGAGCCACTCGTCGTAGTACCCAATCGCCCAAACTCTACCGGTAGAACTCGCCTCTCTTGACACTCACGCCGTACTCGCCAACCGCCATTCCCAGATCTTCCATGGTGAGCACCGTCCGTCCTTGCCCGGAGCCTCCTGAACCACCACCGCCAAAACCGGGCCTTTGAATTCCCAGATGTGTACTGGCTTTGCCCTTGCCTGCATCTCCGCCCGAAGCGCCAGCGCCAGCTCCTGCTGCACCTGCGCCAGACGCACCAGTGGGCATACCGAGACCCGACGCGGCGTTAAGACTGCCCATGGGGTTGCTGGCGGAGGAGCTATTAGAAGCCCGAATACGCGCGTATTGGTAAGAGTCCGCAGCAATATCCGCAATGAATTTCTGAGTCGCCAAAGCGAGAAGTCGGGCTAAGTGTGGGGGTGTTTGGTTGGGGCCATTCCCTGGGGGTGGTAGACCGGCAAGGGTAAGATAATGAGCTGTTACAGCGTCAGGGATCTATCGAATATTAGTATTTGAATGGCCATGACCCGAGTTTTATCTTATAAAATGAAAAGAGCAGGATCATTCCCTAAAGGGAAGGAGAGGGGAGAAAAAACTTACAATAGGCGCATACTCATCCATTTTGCCCAGGAACTCGCGCAAACTTGTCTCCTTCTTCGATGGCGCTGCTGCCGCCGCAAAAGCGTCGACTGATGTTGCGGTCTGGATTGGGTTCCCTACCGTAGGGTCTTCGGCATCGGTTGCGTTGGTCATTTTGGTGTCGTTGCTTGTGTTCAGATCAATATCTTGGTCGATGGAAGCGTCCAAGGCAGCACCGTCTGCTGCATCGGGGCCAGGCTTCGGAACAGCTGTCGCCCCGGATGAAGTTGCTGGTTCACCAGATACCGAGGCTGATGATGCTGAAGGCTCTTGGGAGCCAGTCTGTGACAAAGGCGGTGGTTGCGACGAAGGTGGGACAGAGGTCTGTGATGGCGCTTGGTCGGCCATGGTGAGAACAAAGGAAGTACCAGGTAAGGCGATCAGGAGATTGGGCTGTAAAAAAGCAAATTATCCGGGTTTGGCAGTGGGCGAGTTGGAACAGGGTACTTCGGGGTCCGATGAATCGCGGCGATACGTCGATGTGAACAAGCGGAGAGAGCTTAGCTTTCTTTACCCGTGCGCGGCCCAACGTGACTGACGGACTCTCCGCGATTAAATTCCGATAAATTTACCCTCTTCTACCATTTATCCTGTACAATCTTATTTCGTACCACTCACGCATTATCATTCCATGTTATGCCATAAAAGTACATCCTTTGTTCCATAGAATCTCCTCCTGTTCGTGAATCACCTATTTACTGTTACATATCGAAACCATATATGGAATGTCAACCCGCCATTAATCTTCCAACCCAGATAAAACCATTAGAGATAAGCAGAAGGGCTTTTTGGAGCAACCAGATACAACTGAAAGCTTAGAATGCGGGCGACAAGCAACTGCCCGGGGCAAGAAAAAGAAAGGGAAAAAAGAGAGTGATGGAAAGGTATCGAGGAGATGAGGAAGGAAAGCGAGGACAGGAAGATTCAATCTACTGCCCAAGATGCATGTTTGGATCAACGGGATCCTGATGGTGTGGGTGGTGCTGGTGATGTTGGTGATGCTGGTGCTGTCCAAACTGATCTCCATGCACCTCCTGCCCAAGGGTCTGCATCAAATTCTGCTCAGCAGTTTGATCGAATGCTGCATGAGCACCAGCATCAGGTGGTAAACTGGGAGACGCCGACATGCCGTCATGACCGTGTCCTAAGGGAACCGGCTGAGGGTGTGCGCCAGCTAGGGCCATCATTCCTTTGATTCCTTCGACATGAGCTTTGTCTTCTTCTCCTTGCTTCTTTTGCCGCTCTCGTGCTTCACGCTTGGCAGCCTGGGCGGGCGCACGAGTTTTCAATTCACCAGTAACGAACTTCAGGTAATATGGAACTTCGATTCCACTCTTAAGGAAGAAGAGTTTCAGATTGCGCGCCTTGTCTTTGAGCTGAACCTGATTCCGATCTTTCAGTGCTTCACTAATAGTACCTCCAGGGCCAAACATAGCGAGTATCTGACTCCAATGGGGCCCCTTGACACGATCCAAGCCAGCCATCAATGCATTCTCCTCTTCTGTTGTCCAAGGTCTACGCTGGCTTGGTAGGCCCGACTTGCGGCTGCTGGGGGATGACTTCGCCGATGCTGCCATACGAGCCCGCTCGTAGAGAACTTGAGTCGGCTGAGATTGCGAATAATGAGGGATTCCAGGCATGTAACCATGATTGGCGGCTGCAGAATTTGGCCTTCCAGGCATGGAGACTGGGGCACCATGGGTGTATTGTTGGAAATTGGCCTGGATTGGTCCCTGCTGAAAGGTAGGCTGCGTAGGCTGTGGTTGATAACCTGGTGGTGTAGGACTTGGCTGATACTGCTGATGATGAGGGTTCTGCTGAGGTGGAAGCTGGCCAGTTGGTTGCGCAGGAGCATAGCCATGATAGATTTGTGCACCTTGCTGGGTTGGGTGATGAGGTACATGTTGCTGCTGTGGTTGCTGTTGTTGAATTGGATGTTGAGGCTGCTGAGGCGGCGGCTGCTGGGCTTGTTGTTGCGGCTGCTGAGGTTGCTGTTGGTGATGGTGTTGTTGCTGTACCTGCTGCTGCTGCTGCTGCTGTTGCTGCTGTTGCTGTGACTGCTGCTGCGAGCGTCTCAGCCCATGGCCCTGCAATGCGATTTGTGCTGCACGAGCAGCACGAGCAACGAGGTCACCATGCATGTTTCTGTCGACAGGAACATCGGGAGGCTGAGGAGCAACTGGAAATTGTCCTTGAAGGGGAGCGTTGCTTGGTTCTTGCGCGTCCCCGCTCGAAGAGGATGGCTGGCGTCCTTTGGTCATCTTCTTCGACTGAATCAAATTAGTACTTGAGATACTCTTGACTGAAAGGGATAGCTGGGGCATCGAACCTGCTGGTTACTGATCGTATCAAAATTCTTTGTGACATAGGAGCTAAGGTCCCTGAGAAAATCTTCCCAGTGATACTTGTCTGGCAAGGCCTTCATCGCTTCTTCATTATTGACATCGTTGAGGAGGATATCACGGCGCGACTTGGCGCGATTTACAAAATCAGTTTCGCTTGGAGCAAGTTGACGAGTGCCCGGGCGCCTTTCAAGTAGACGCTGCTCTAAGTCGTCGGGAAATAAGTCGTACAGCAGCTCAGTTCGGGATCGCTCCGTGTTGTTCATTGAGGCAATGAACGCCTGTGTTTTCAGCTCTAGGAAGAGAGCCCCCTGTACTTTGAGTAAACGACCACCCTCCGGAACAAAGACATCGAGGAAGTTATCATTCAGCTCGGAAAATCCAATTTCTTGTGTTCCAAAGATGCTGGAGACAAACGACGCAAGGTTGGCCTTCCTGATGATGTCAACTTGAGAGGACTCGGTGAGCTCAAGTTCGGTAGCAGACAGGAATGATTTTTTGGTCGAGTACACTTTCTTGGTGTGGTCGAAAAGCGACCGCATGGTAGCATAGGCTTGTCCATTCTCGGAATCTGGCTCGGAGACAAACGAGGTGATATCCTGATAGGTAGATTTTGCCAGCAGAGATAGGATTTGGGTAGACTGAGCGAACGTTAGAACATAAATATGAATCATGCAAAGAGGAAGTACAGTTCCAAGACAATGCTTACCAGGTTGTCAAGAATGGGCAAACTTTGAATTTTAAGGTGGGAGTTTGCTTTGACAAACACCATTCCTTTTGGAGCCGACTGGCCAGAAGTATCGGCTAATTGCTGCTGTCCGATAGCGCATTGTTCCTCGACGCGTTCCGCATGGTTCATGATGCTTGAAATGACGGTAGCTATGTCCGTATCAATGTCCTGGTTTGGTTCTGGTGCCACCGTGCTTTCGACGGGTGTCTCGATATGACTAGTAGGTTTGTCATCTTGGCGTTCAACCGTGTCGACTATACTAGGGCCGAGGGCTGAGGCCAACTCTTCTTCGATTTGATTTCCTGGCCCTTGGTCCACGACACTGGGCGGTTGTGGTGGAAGTGAGAGGTCTCCTGGTTCCGACTTGAGGCGCGGCTTCTTGGAGGCTCGAGGAGAGACGGCACCGTCGTCTTCTTCAAGGGGACGGGACATTTTCGGGGCGACTGTAGAATATCGAGTCAATGATCGGTTTCACTTCATGTAATCATGTAGGAGAGCCTCTTGAGTGATTTCAAGTGAGAGTAGTGGTCATTCTGCCCTGCTAGTAGGAACGGCCGGATGGAGCAAAGGGTTGCTGGTAGAACGCGCACGTAACTTACCATTAAGATCTTCATCCTGGGGGATAGAAGTTGGAGGAAGCTCAGAAGAGTCCTGCCCATCAATGGACGGCCTTACAGCCTGTGAATTCACCATGTTAGGAACAGTCAAGTCGGTCTGCATAGGACGTTGACTTCCAAGAGCAGAAATAAGGGCTTAGGGGTAGGGCGCAGGCGTAGGGCTTGCGAGAGGATGAGACGGGCGGATAAATGGCGTGACAGAATTTTCGCCGGGCGGAAAGGTGACAAGCGCAGCCTGAGGCAGCCACGAAGCAGCACCACTCAGTAGTATGTATGGCAGTAAATGAATCTAGTAAGGGAAACACGATCGAATATCTCTTATTACTTGCAGTTCAAGTCTTGTGTGTCATTTTAATCTGCGCATCTTCTTCAAATTTCTCATAACTACCAGATTCTAGAGTAAATGCACATACAATATGATGCGTGTGTGGCCTCAGGCACTTATTTCAGCTGCGGAGGTGCCGTCCTGTACCTGATCAATCTGATACCTAGCCACGGAAACATCCCTGGATAGTATCTTAGACTTCTTCTTTTGATCATACCATAACTAATATTCGCAGGATCAAACTTCTAAGGACACTTCCATTCACCTGTACCGTACATACCTGACCGCCACGGTTGCTTTCGCTGGGATGCTACCTTCCTCAGTCTACACGTCATCGATAGACTGCCGTTCCATAGTGAAATATCGTCTCTTGAGTGGCATTTGATCAATGCTCCACGAGTCTATCTTGGTACTTGGCTAACTTTTTGCAATATTTTATACGCAGTATGGGAAAATCCTTCGTTCCGGGAAGGGAAAGAAGCCAACCCGATCGTTAAAGGTCAACAACAACTACTAAACCGAGTGTCTTGACTATCGATATAAGCCACCCGTGAAATTAACTGCAGCTGCTAACATCTGAGGTACTCGAATACATTGTTTGTTATTGATATATCGATCACCCTGAGGTCCATAAATGAACGGGCTACATTGCTTTGCTCAGTATTTACTATTTACTCAGGACGAGGCCTTGTGAAGCTACCATCGCACCATTCCAGAGGATACCCGCTGGTACACGGTTCCAATTACGGATGAAGTATGACTTTATGTCGTCATATCCCATGGACTTGCCAAAGTCAAATGGATGTTACCGGAGTCCAGGTCTCAGAGCTTTCATCCCAATGTTTCTAGCTCTTATACATTACTCTCCTCCTGTGCCTGGCCTCAGTGAACTGTAACGCACCCCTTTCTTCTCGCTAACTAGGGGCTTTTACTCGCCCTGTTCTTTGTCTTCTATATGATATTAATGAAAACCTCCAATAAGATATACTCCTTTTATAAAAATAATCATTTGACGATCCTGTGCCCACTATGTTAATCTTTAATCTCCATGTCATGACTGCGGCAGCAGTATTACACACATCCCTGGCCTCTGCCCAAGATCTGGAAGAAAAGGTGTGGGCAGTCGTTGCCTACAACCTTTACGGAGATAGTATTCCAACAGCCCTACCTCTTCCGAAAGCCTTGACGCCGTATGGGGCGAATCAGTTGTATGCGGCAGGATCCGTGTTCCGGGACCGCTATGTTGCAATACATGAAAACGATAACGCTTCAGTTACAAGGATCCAAAATATATCGCCGTATTTGATAGATGCTGAGGAGGTGGATGTGCTTTCGACCACTGATCCGTCAGTTGTTGCATCTGCTCAGGCTTTCATGCAAGGCCTTTACCCACCTCTCGAAAAATCGCTTAACGCAACATTCTCCGATCCCTCATTTCAACTTGCCAATGGCACTATAGCTACTGCTCCCTTGGGTGGATATCAGTATCCCCGAATCATCACTCTTGATGCAGCAGACCCGCGATCAATCAAGCTGGACGGAGATACAGGTTGCCTGCTGCACCAAGTTGCCGATACTGAGTACGAATACGGCCCGGATGCTCAAGAGATCAAGCAGGATTCAGCGGCCTTTTATAGCAAAATTTACCCGTTGTCTTTGTCTGGAGTATTGGATCCTTCTTCGGCCAATTATGAAAATGCCGTTATGATCTCAGAATACTTGGACTACGAGTCTGTGCACAATGAATCATTATTGCATAACATGAACCAGGATGATATAGACCGTGCTCGTTCTCTTGCAGACCGCTATGTTTTTGCAACGAATGGCAATATGCCATCATCAGGGACTAATGTCAGTGACCGTATCCGCACTGTTGCGGGACGCACATTAGCCTCAAGCATTTTGGATGCTTTTAACAACAATATCGACTATCGAGGTGCCAACGGGAAAATGACACTCATGTTTGGTAATGACGAGCCTGCTGTCGCTCTTACATCCCTTATGCAGCTGGCGTCGCCAAAATATGGAAATTTTTACGGACGTCCCACGCCTGGTGCATCAATGGTGTTTGAACTTTACAGTCTGGAGAATAACTCCAGTCCAGCGTACCCCGACCCGTCTCAGCTTTACATTCGATTTCTCCTACGAAATGGAACCCATTCGCCCGACTTCCGATCCTATCCACTCTTTGGACATGGACCCAGCAATATAGCCATTCCTTATACAGAATTTCAAGCAGAAATGGAGGCGTTTTCGGTGGGATCGACGAAAGAATGGTGTCTTCTTTGCAACTCACAAGCTACGTTTTGCTCTGGCGTCTTCGGTGGAGATGAGGGTCGACCTACTAGTGATAAGGGACTGAGTCCTGCAGTTGGTGGTGTCATTGGGGCAGTTGTTACACTAGTAACGATTGCTCTCATCTCAATCGTCGGATTTCTAGTATGTGGTTTCCGCATGAATCGCACTCGGCGGTCAAGCCTCGGAGGCTTCAAAGGCAACAGCAAAATGGCAAGTGATTCTGATGTCACATTCAAGAATCCTACTTGGGAGGATGTCAAACCAGCGGAAACCCAAGAGGCTAATGGCAGCGGTGCTGGTATCACTGTCGTGAGAGGACATGAGCGCACAGGCAGCTGGGAAATGAAAAGTCAACAACAGACTAATAACAAAAATCATAATCATAACACGTGGAGAGAGCAAGCCACGTCTCCATTTGATGTACCAGAGGAGGAGGAATGGCAAATCCACAGTGCTATACAACCAGTCGCAGCCCGTGAAAGTGTGTAGTGTGTTGCCTTTGGATAATACTGTTCGCACTTTCTTATGTACCGTGGACCGTGGTCCTTGGACGCCCTTCGTTTCAGTTTCGGGCCTTATTCTAATTTATTTATATCTCACTAGTGATATTTTAATATTTCTAACTGTTTGATAATTGTCCTGATTTATATTAAGTATTTATAGTGGAAAAAAAGCCGAATATCAGCCACGAACCTGGATTGCCAGCTGCGTGCACTTTCCAGATCGGGCAGACGGCCGATGGACCTTCTGAAACAAACAACTCGGAGTCTACACTTCCAGAGCAACTCTCTTGTGTCATCTCCCTTCAGCCTCTCGATACATGAAAGAAACATGTCTTCCGTCTAGCCACGCTTCTTCATCTTTCCTTTCCTAAATAGCACCATGAGGAAGTATGATATCCAAACTCTACTGGCTTTGAGCCAAAACGCGCGTGTAGAGCTCAATAAATTCAGCGACCAGGCACTTGGCTGTATGTACACTTTTTTGCATCAAACTGCCATGTAACTTGAAGCTGAATGCTAATGATGCTCAACTATTGATCTGCGACGCAGATAATTTGCTCCGCCAAAACCAAGCAAGCACCAACGCCTTAACTGAACAATCGGCCAATCGGTCAAGAACAGTGTCGAATATTTCACATCATACTGAAGTTTCTCTAAGTCGTTTACACTGTCCAATTCGCGTGCCGAAAGATCCTCCTCGATCCAGCCGCGCACAGACTGATGCTGGCTTTGCGCGATTTCTCAAGGATCATACATCCCCTAAACATCAACGCGTTACCGCCGGTGGTCGTATCGTCCCTATGGAGCCACAAACCCCTGTACCTAAATTTAAATTGCCTGTGCAGAAGAAGCAGACAAGCGATCACGAGGTTGAGGCACCCGGGTCTCTTCTGGGGATCGAACGCGAATGTGTATCCAGAAATATTTCAGTAGGGCCAATGGAATCGAACTCTAACAGAAGCGATGTATCAAGGAACTCTATCGGCCCTACTGGAATTCTCCCAGACCTTGCAAAGATACCCCTCGCAAATGGCTTATTTGACCAAGCATCTCAAGGATCAGGATGCCCGTCGACTATTCCGTGGTCCGCTCCGGGCTATGTCGTACCTTCCGGATTTCCAGTTGCGTTCAACAATCAGCAACTTCCTCGCATTGATCAGTGCCCTCAAATGGCATATGTACCGGTATTCCCAGATCCCACGATGTATAGCGTTGGCTCGGATATGTACCAAGGCTTGAATATGCAGGGTCTTATGTCTTCTATACCAACATCACTTCAGCCACACTTGGCTGTGTCAACATCATCTTCTGACTTTGCATCATGCAGTAACGCTGCTAGTGCAGGCTCTTCCTCAGCTTTCAGTCAGGGCCAAATGAGTTATGAACCCGGCTATCCGACTTTTGCGCCTCAGGTATATCAATTTGTCGGTAGTCAGTACCCAGCACTCAAACAGCCACAACATCTCTCAGGAACACCCCAAGGAATGCCACATCTGAAATGCCTAGATGAAGCTAAAACGCAGCATGAGTCTCTTTCAGCTCAGCTCTCCCGTCTCGACAGGTACATGGCTATACACACCTGGGATATAGACTCTCGATCGAAAAAGGCAATGGTTGAACAGCGAAAGAGTTTGGTGCGAGAGTTAGACGTAGTCCGAATGTATAGAGAGCAGCTGGAACTGATCTTTGGCAAGCCACACATGAATGGTTCAAGCGACCAGCAAAGGGTCAATGCTGATTTCCTCGTACCACCTAGTACCTATCTTACAGGAAATACGGCAGACTATCAAGGGTTTTTAGGGCCAATGTCTTCATCATCTAGTGCGAGCTGCACAGGTCAGACATTGCCTGCATACTTGGCTCCGCCTACACTCCCCATGCTTTGCCCAGAAAGTGAAACTGCCATCCCAGTGTTTCCGTGGCAAACTATGGGAAATCCAGACTCAGCTGTATGCGTTAAAGATATTTCCGCAAACAGGACTCTCGGAGCTCCCAATTTGTCTCAGCAAAATAATGAATTGAGAACAAACCTAAACATAAACCAACGAGACAGGTCAATCTACACCTCAACTTTCAGCGATGGGTCTGGCAGCACCGGTGATGAACAGACATCATCTTGGATGCCATCACCACTAGATCTTCAAAACCTGTATCACAAAATTGAAGAGGCCACAGAGCGGGGCGAACCTGTTGGCAGGCTACTAAAGGAATTGTCTGTTGTTACCACACAGCTCGTAAAGCAGAAAAGGGAAGAAGGCAGAATCTCTCATCGGTCAATGCGAGGCAAACAGGGTTTGCCGTCACTTCCAAGCGGTAAACCAGGTTCGGCGAGAATGACCACCAATGGCAAGCCAGTGAAATATGAAGGACATCGCTGGGGATCCGAAGTTCATCCTCGAGAAGCTGTCAAAAGCTGCGGTGGCACGTCCTCTACATCAGACAATGAGGAAAATGGGAAACTCTCTTCGTCTTATGTGTCTACAACGGACTCATGGGCTACTGTTCATGAACGAAAGTAAGCATTACCTCTCAAAGCTTGTCTCTTCCTCAATTTCAGATTCCTAACAATAGCAGCAAGCGCCTAGTTAGCATGGGCTCTCTGGAAGATCCCAAATATGGGAAGAATCCGGAATCCATTTGGAAAAGGTAAAAGTCGCCCATACATATGCGTAAAACCTACTTACAGTATGTTATAACAGCACTCGACCACTTTCCAAGGACAAAGTTGTGTTAGCTGAGACACATGCTTCGGGTGCTCCACAGAATATTGGATGGGTCCTGGGACGATTGGAAGACAAGCAAGAGGTCAAGCCGAGCAACATTACCGCGCTACATCGTACCCACAGAATTCGTGGAGGAGACTCAGACATGCAGAATATGAAGCTGCCAATATCGTCTCTGAATACACAGCTCTTGAACAGAAATCGGGGCTTAGTGTTTCAAAAAACAGCCGCTTTGGCGGTTCCTCAAAACGTCAACGTACAGGCTTATGTGCCCTCTTTTGACGGCCCTGGAGATACGCCTGGAAACGAGACAAGCCAGCAAGCAATGGAAACCGGCGATAGGCAGATGCAGGGGACCGTACTCCATAGCTCGGCTCAAGAGACTAGACCATGGTATATACCCAAGCAGCGTCCCAAGCCTAGTCGGGAAATCCTACGTGACTTCTTTCGCCAAGTTAGAGATGAGGAGCGATGTGAAATGCGCAACTCTCAAAACGAAGGTCAATCTAATGGCCGGTAAAGCAATGGCCCCAATGGCCCCAGGCGCAGCTGCATTATCCTCCATGGCCTTTTCAGCCCTTCACATGTTATTCTTGGTTTTTGTTTTTAGTTCCTGACTGTTTGTTCTGACCACTACAAAAGAGAAAAGAAGAGAGTGCACAGGTGAGTAGGCGATTTGGACAAGGAGTATTGTAGACTTTTGGGAAACGATGTTAACTTAGGTACAGGAAGCACGGTTGGCAATCGATACAGCATTAGGATGCACAGCATTTTGAACCCCTTTGTATTTTTCACCTTGGGTCGACCCTTAGGAGAGGAGGCTTACTTTTGTCTGAAAATGAAGGTGTTTGAATAACTAGTATGCATGATATTCTCGGATAGTTATGTTTCGAGGCTTTCGGCTACTCAATTCTCTGGAAGGGCAGGCTCCATGTCAATTTGGCGACTACCGAAGGCTGGTCATCTTGTTTCTCGGCGGATATCTCTATACGAGATTAGTATGAATCAAGTCTCCTGATTGAAACTGCTTGCATAGGCTGAGCTCTGCCGCTCGGAACAGAATCACCTAGTATTAGGACTGAGTATTTTACATGCACACACTTACTCAATTCCGAAACTGGTTAACTTGGCGGGCTTCGAGTGAGAAAGAACAATCATACTGTAGGCCTCATGAGAAGTTGTAGCGGTCCTTGGCATAGATTCACCAACGTTAGACCCACTTATTTACTTAGGTTACATATGATCGGCGTATCCCCGACTAGTTCGATACTAAATTTAAGTAGCAGGTTTGGTAGAATGTGCTCTGTGGTTCCTATTCCTACAAACTTAGAGTCCGACTATGGCAAATGGGTACCAACCCTGGTTCTCAACCGACTTTGACGGTTTCAAGCCCCATATCGAAGTAGGACAACGAAAGTTTGGCTCACTGATCCAAGATGTGGAGAATGTCACCCGGTATCGCGCTGACAGCCGACGTATACAGAACAGCATCTGCCCATGGAGCTTCGTACGGCCTGAAAGTACTACTCGACGAGTAATATTTTCTCTTCGAAGAGCCCGATGTTGAACAATCATTGAGGATCCTGTTCAACTGAATGTACAACCTTACCCGGAAGTTGGTAGGATTATCATTATGTCTAAGACAGCGTTTACGGCGGAATAAATATACTGCGCACACTGCACTGTCTTGATGCACTGAGAAGGCATTTCAAGTCGCAAGGCCATCACAAAGATCTTCCCCCGGAGCTCGAGAATATGCAGATTGGTTGATTATGTTGGTGTTTATTTTGTCTCTTTATGAATCGTCGATACAAAACTGACGTGAACACGATCTAGACCATTGCATAGATCAGTTGCAGCAGTTATATTGAGACCGGTCTATCCGGCGAGACATAGCAGGCCTCTCCTGGTACTTTTCAGTGAGGCGGAACCCAAGCATACATGGCGGAATTTCGATACAATCAAACAGTGGGTACACTCGAAGGGGGCGGGTTACAATATGAATCAGTTTCGCATTGCAAAAAAAAGAAAATAAAAATAAAAATAAAAAAGTGGATACAAAATTTACGCGAGTTTTATTTTTATTTCATGCTCGTTTAGTCGTCTCCTGAAGCGAGGCATTAGTAGGCTCAATCTGGGCCCTTTGGTATGGGTCTTGGATAAGGCTGTGCTCTGAATCCTTGGCTTGTCATTCCTATTCAGCTAAGGCATCGAGTTCTGGTTTCGTTACAGACTATAAGGGGAAATGTGATATGGTGTCTGGGGCGTACGTATGTAGGAGTATCTCAATATACTGTGGCGTGATGAGGCATTTGTCACCCAAGATTGTTTTAGTTATCATTCAAGATTGATAATGAATGAGAATTCATTGCCAAGATGATGCGCCCAGCCACGCTAGTCCCGGTTTATCCCTGGACACTGGCCAATGACTTGCAAGCGAGGAACCATGTTTTAACCTTCGGCTGTCATTTGGGGCAATTTTGGGTTGAGGAGATGGAAGGCGACAAGAACCGGATGAGACGAACAAGAACATGGAGAAAAATAAAGAAGAACTATGGTTAATTGTAGTAGGCGTACGGAGTAGTACTACTAGTAGTAATCGAGAATGTAGTATGATTTTGTCTCAGCTGAGTTGAAACCCTAGCCACAACTCGGCATGTCCCGATGTTGCGGAAGGGTGAAACCCCAGACCAGAAGAAGGAGAAACCTTTAACCCATTGGACTGCGGGTGATATTGACCCGTGACTTATCTTGGAAATCGTTCAAGTCGATGGCGGATTTATTGACTAAGCCCGAAATTCCCAATCTTTCCTCCGCGTCTCCACTTTTTGTATTCCCTCCCCTTCCCTCTTTCTTTCTGTTTCCTCCCTTCTCCATTCAATGCTCTCACCCCCGAGTTGGAGAGGAGAGTTGAAATTAATTCTGCGTCTCTCGTTCCTCAATCTCGACTTTCTTTGACCGAATTTGTGTTCCCAGCTCCAGTGCTTCGACGGTGATTTGACGGGTGCCTGGCCTTCCGCCCATGTCACTATCAGTTTGCGGGTGAACGTCCCTTTGATCGCAATACTTAGCACCGCCTTCTCCCCCGCCGTTTCTAGCCCGTTGCTCGGTCCCCTTCCTTGCATCGATCAATCCAGACTATCTGCCCCTTCTTTACCCTCCCACTAAATTGCATTATTATCAACCTCGTGAAACGACGGCCTAATCCCCTGGGATATATCCAGGTGAACTCGTCGGCATGACCCAACTTTTTACCTCCAGTCCGTCCAATGTGTCGAACGAGAAACGTGGAAACTTCCCTAGCCTCTCTCTCCCGTCCAGAAAACATTCCAATGAGTCGAGCCATCTCCCGACAAAGATCAAGAACTTTTTTCGCATAAATAGCTCGAGCAGCAACTCGTCTCATCACAGTCATAGCCACAGTGGCGATCGGGACAGAGAGGGCAGTCCTCACACCGGCGCCAAGACCGAATCTAAGTCGGCCTTCAGGCAATCGCGATTCCTCCCCACAATTGGTCGCAACCGCTCAACCACCGTTGCTAGCGAAGGCAATCCGCTGGATGAGGGAGTCTCTCCAACTGCAACAGCCAATCCGTATTTCGTTCATCAGGGGCAACCGTCCTTACAGCATCGCAATGACGGTTCGGAGCCTTCTTCTCCGCCGGACACTCCAGAGCTACAGGTCGACGGTGTCTCCGCTGCTGAGCAGGCCACGACTGCCAATAAAACCGAATTAGCTCGAAAGCTTCGCCGCGTCGCTTCCGCCCCGAATGCACAGGGTCTATTTGCCAAGGGCGAGAATGATGGACGCCCTCAAACCGCTGAAACTGGAAACCAGCCCACAGTGGAAGAAACCGACTCTCAGATTACTATCGCGGAGGATACAGTCGGGAGTCTCTCCGTACCTAAACTTGGTGCCGATGGCAAGATCCCGAGTCCCGGTGAGATTCGCAACCAGGTGGCCTTCCGCAGAACGTATAGCTCCAACTCGATCAAAATTCGGAATGTGGAAGTTGGGCCAAGTAGTTTCGACAAGATCAAGTTGATCGGCAAAGGCGACGTAGGAAAGGTTTATCTCGTTCGCGAAAAGAAGACGAGCCGCTTATATGCTATGAAGGGTGAGTTTGCCGTGGCTCCATTAAACAGACCTAGGGCATGTAAATGTTCTGGGCATCCATCTTCGACACCCTTGCTGACAGCACCAGTCCTTAGCAAGAAGGAAATGATTAAACGAAACAAAATTAAGAGGGCGCTGGCCGAACAGGAGATCCTCGCCACAAGTAACCATCCTTTCATCGTCACGCTCTACCACTCTTTCCAGTCCGAGGATTATCTCTACTTATGTATGGAGTATTGTAGTGGTGGCGAATTTTTTCGAGGTGCGTATAGACCAGGGCCTCTATCTCAAATAGCCGCTGATTTTAAACTTGGTAGCTCTTCAAACACGCCCGGGGAAATGCATTTCCGAAGACGCGGCGCGGTTCTATGCGGCGGAAGTTACAGCCGCTCTAGAGTATCTCCATCTCATGGGTTTCATCTACCGGGATCTAAAGCCAGAGAGTATGTATTCCTGTCATACAGTACTGATAGTAGCCATTGTTCTGACAGTAGATTATTCAGACATTCTTCTGCATCAGTCTGGCCATATAATGTTGTCAGATTTCGACCTGTCTAAACAATCGGGCCCTGGTGGTGCTCCCACCATGATTCCGGGACGGAGCGGCAACTCGACGACGTCTCTGCCCACCATCGACACAAAGTCGTGCATCGCTGATTTCCGGACGAACTCCTTTGTAGGAACGGAGGAATACATTGCGCCGGAGGTTATCAAGGGCTGTGGACATACTAGCGCAGTTGACTGGTGGACCCTTGGTATCCTGATCTATGAGATGCTTTACGGCACAACACCGTTCAAGGGTAAGAACAGGAACGCGACGTTTGGAAACATCCTACGAGATGACGTACCATTTCCTGAACACGGGGGGGCCCAACAAGTTTCCAAGTAAGGCTCTTCAATTTTCACGTTCATGTGGCATACGCTAACAATATGGCGATAGTATGTGTAAGTCTTTGATCCGTAAGCTGTTGATTAAAGATGAGACGAAGCGTCTGGGAGCTCGTGCTGGTGCCTCGGACGTCAAAACCCACCCGTTCTTCCGGCAAACACAATGGGCACTTATTCGCCATATGAAGCCACCGATGATTCCTCATCAAAGCCGAGGAACGGATACACTTAACTTCCGCAATGTCAAAGAAAGCGCCAGCGTTGATATTGGCGGCAGCAACCCCACCAAGATGAAGGGTGTCCCCATGGATTCGGGCCTTGCCACGCCCAATGGGGAAGTGAACGACCCATTTGAAGAGTTCAACAGTGTTACTCTTCACCATGACGGAGATATGTAGTTCGTCAACCGATGGATGCTACGGTGACTGTACTGTGTTTCTCGGTGCATGACCGATTAGACCGTTTGAGTGTCCCTTGCATAGCTCTGGAGCTCATTTCACGACGATAACGCATGAAAGATCTTTGTATCCGAAGCAACAGTGTCTTACATTATAATCTGGAGTACGGGAGCTTAGAACTTTTTGTGGGTCTTTTGCTTTTACTCTTTTTGCTTGTTTGAGAACGCGTTTGATTTTTCTGTTCTCCGACATTCCTCGGCCTGTGTCTTTGTACTACGGCTATTACAGCTGACTTCCTCCATGGGATGACCTTTCGGTTTCTTGCTTTTTTGACTCTCCGGGCGCAGCGATGTATACGTTTGGCTTTGGCTCCCATTTATCACTCACAATTGCAAAGGGCGGCGTTTACGATTTCGGTTATATGGCAGAGCAGACTTGTTTTTGCGGATCATCTCCTGAGATTGTTCGCCTGTGAACAGGCGAAGTTAAAAGGATACGAAGACTTGATTTGGCTTTTGTTTTTGTTTGCATTGATTTTTTGCTTCCGTGAAGACCACATTTGGATGTCTTGTTATCCATATGTGGGCAGGCCCGGCGCCAGAACGTATGTTAGAGCTACAGCAATCATGAGATCCATTTTATTGCATTTATCTAGACGAACATTTGTTTCAACACTGGAAATCTCAGTGCGACTTTTGCTGATGCTGGGAGTAGTGCGAGACATGCGGAAATCATTATTTCGCAAGGGCTCACCGGCAATACTTAGGAATACCTGCCTGGTATGATTGACGAGCAGTTGGTCAGCGTATCATGTGTGGATGCGAGGAGGCCCTCATCCCGCGGTCTCTAGGCGACGGGTTTTAAAAAGGCGGCTCTCTCTTTCTTCTGGCGCTGTATGTTGTTGCAATATACCTGATGGGCGTGAAGAGTTCGCCAGAGGGATATCAATATCTTCTTTGAATGCCTAGCGAATGTTCTCGTTACAATGCGTTTCATCCAATCCCCATGTCTTGCTCGCGACGTGGTGAACCTTCCTTTCGAAATATTATCTCCCTGTCCTTTTGGCCAAGTTAAACAGTAGGGCGTAGGGCGTAGGGCGTGGGTAGCTTGAATGGCATCGTTCCCTTAATCAATACCACAGAAAATGTACTACGAATCCCTCTACACATTGATTGAAATACGCTTCGAACGTCTGTAAGCGCTTCTAAGACACTAAAGAACTAGCTAGATGTATCTAATCATATGATACTCCGTAGAAGACAGTTAGGAGAGAGGTTGTTTATGTATCCTGTAGGCGTTTGCTTGGCACCGGAAGTTCACCTTTTCCACGGCCTGACAACAATTGCCAAGTCCTTCGTTGACTACTACTATTCATGCTAGCTAGTGGCGACTACTACTACAACCACTACCACTACCGAGATGGTGCAACAGCTGGAAGCAAGTACGATCGATGGCAAGAGTTCACATGCTCGCATCCACATCAACCGAGCCTGCGAGCCTTGTCGGTCGCGGAAGATTAGATGTAATGGGCGCCACCCTTGCCACAAATGTGAGCAGCACCAACGGCAGTGTCAGTATCGGGCTGGAGGGGCGAGGAAGAAACGCGACCGTGTGCGAGAAGACACCCCGAAGGAGATTGAACTCAATCCAAGCTCGATAGAAGCCGAGCAAACTGCGGGCCCGGCGGACCCGGTGCCGCCGCAGCCACAGGTATTCAGCGATCTGGTTCAATTCAAGCTGCACCAGGCTTTGCGTGTCGGAATTGGAGTCTCCAATCAGGCCACGGGGTCTTTCCAATTCTATGGTAAGCTGCGATGATACCTACTCCGCTGGCTTCCCTGCTTGTGGGGTGCACTGATGTATCCAGGCCCGTCATCACATTTCTGCTTCATCCAAAGGATTTACGAACGAGTGAAGAGGAACTGCCACCCCGCTGAGTTGCCACAGAGGGACTCAACTGTTCCGGAAGCCCTGGAGAAATGGGGCTTGGAGAAATTCATGTTTTCGCGCGAATATGTCCATGGGGGGAACCCGCCGCTGCAGGCTGACGCCTACTTCCCCCGGGACATGGGAGTTCTATTCATAGAGGCCTATTTTCGCATCATGCATCCTCAGATGCCACTCCTGGCATATTCAGAGATTATGGAGACCTGGAACAAACTCTGGGAGCCACCCCAACCCGGCAAAGTGTTGAAAGACGCGGATCTACTGTACATGGTCCTTGCCATCGGCTCTCGTGTATCGAATTACAAAGGCAAACAGACCGCCGAGTGGGTTGATCTCTGGGCTGAGCATTTCTCTAACAAGGCGAATAATTTTGCCCTGTATTTTCAGGAGCCCAGCCTGAAGGGTACTCACTTCATGCTTCTAAAGGTCTGGGACTGGGAACCTGGCTGTGTCTTGACTTCGAAATGACGCTAATCGTACACCTCTCAGGCTATGTACGCGCTTCAAGTGATGAGGCCAAACGAGGCGTACCTCTATTTCGGATATGCGGCTCGCAACGTACTTGCACTCGGCATCAATCGGTCCCAGGTGACAGATGGAAACAATCTGAGCATGCATAGACTCCGGATCACGTTCTGGACGATCTTTGCTAACGAGAAGATATCGGCCCTTTTTATTGGTCGCCCGTCAAGCCTATGCGAGGACCAGGTCGATACAGCCTGTCCGGAGGACATCTTCCCGCAGAATGTAACTGGCATGGACTCTGACAGTCCGGAACATATCAGACCGACTGTGGAGTGCGCCTGGATTCGGGCTGCGGCCAAAATCGGCCGCGTCGCAGATAAAGTCTCGATCGCCACCTACTCTCCGAACTGTATGCGGGACATCTCCGACGTGGAAAAGTCAGAGCAGCTCGTCATCGAATGCGATGCGAGGTTGAAATCCATTGCACAGTCGCTCCCTCCGTACCTACACTTCTATGATCACAGTCTGCCCATCGGGGAAAGCTGGCAAGAGGTTCAGCGGGTCAGTCTTGGGTTGATCTATTACCTGACCTGCATGCTCATGCATCGACCCAGCCTGATGTATGCGACATTCTTTAGTTCCACCGCCGAGGCGGAAAGCAATGCCACGGGGCCTCTGAAGATTAAGGACTCCATTGATGCCTCTATTAACGCGGCGCGGAGCCTGATCGATTTAGCACACGACGTATATTTTCGACGGTTTCCTGAAATCCGGTCGGATGGCACCATGGCCACCTTCTTGACCTCCGCTTGTATAACTCTTCTTTACGATGTGCTAGATCCCCGGACCACCCAGGAACACGCTAAGGCCACGTTCGCTACCGTCGAGCGCGGCATCCAGTGCCTGGATGAGATTCAGCACGTGGGACCGTTGACGGGCAAATTAATCAGTACCGATATCATGAAGATGGCCAAGGATGCCTTGATCTCTATGGGCAATTCCTTCGGCACCGACTCGAATATATTTGACTCCTTTCCGTGGTTGCTGTAAGTTTAACTATGCCTTCCGTACTCCGTCAAGCGGATTGCTCTTGAGATACTAACCGGAGTACTTTTGGGACAGTGACGTCCAGGACTCATACGATCCAATACCGCTAGCTTCTTCTTCTTACCTACCGGCAACTACAGCGAACTCGGGCGTGTTCGTGCCAAATGCAAATGAAATGGGGTTAGCCAGTAGCACACCCAGCACGAATCTTAGGTCCTACTGGGTTGAGAATGGGTTTGACCCGCAAAATGTCCCTGAGAGTCTGTTTTAGAGTTCCTTTATACAATACTTTATTTTATATTTCGTATTGATTCTTAATATGTTTGCTGTGACTTTATCAGTGGGTGCCACGTAGCAAAGTTGATCACCCCGGCAATGGAAGAATGTCAACGATTGTAGAAGTTCTCGGGTATTCCTTATGTTATACCTGAGCGGAGGTAAACGTTTCCTACCAGCAGGGGCCGCTGTCTATGCCAACCCACTGCATCGAATGATTAACTCGTTTGCCGAGTCTGGGGGAATCTCGTGGCTAATTCCGTAGCAGTGGAGTCAGCTAATTCCGGATCTGCAAGGACACGGCCCTAGTTCCTTAGAGCATACGCATTTTCATTTAATTCCACTATAAAATCACAAGCTGATTGGAATTCAGAGAATCAGGCAGTAAATTAGTAGGTTATGGATGTACGCTGGAGTACAGTTACATTGATGCTCCATTTTCGTAGTTCATGAGAAGCTGTCGCGATTCCTGCTGAAACATCTCGTCCGTAGGCACGACACCTTGCTGGACCTGGATCCGGGCAAATCGGCTGAGGTGTAAGGCAAGGCGGTTCGAAAACCCATGGAGAGACATGTCTCGAGGCAGGATATCCGGCAGACCAGTGGTACCAGCCTCATCATCTCCTCCCACCTGGCCTGCCCCCTTCGTGCTCAGGCTAACCTGTTGAGTACCACCTCCGTTCACGCAGCGGCCTTCCGATGAGACCAGACGAGTTGTAGCTGTCTCCTTTCCGGTAGGATACGGAGGCATCACATTGCGGACCTGTTCTGCAATCTCCAGAGGCAATCTATACCCTCTCCGCCAGTTGCGCATAGTGCAGCCCTGGCGAAAGTGATCCGCAAGATGGTCTACTCGTTCCGTCCAGCTATTCAACTGGCGGCCGCAAAACCCGCATTGGCACATAAACGGAGGCGCCTCTTTCCGCCACCCGTCGATGGCTGGGATCTCGTTGACTCGATGCACGAGGCGCAGGTGCTGCACCAGATGATCCTTACGGGCAAAGCTGCGCACCGCTCCAGCGCATGTCGAATGGTTATGTTGTTCGAGATGCTCAGAGGTCGGTTCTGGGTCGCTGCAGTAGACACACTGTCGAGTGCCCGTTACTGGTGAGACGATGGAGCCATCTCTGGGCTCACAAATCCAGGTTTCGCGGTCAAGGTGTAGGGAATTCTCGTGGCGGACCCAGTCATACTTGTATTTGAAAGCATCGCCGCAAAAGGTGCAGTAAAAGTACCGCCGTTTCTGTTCTGCGGACTCCTCGTTTCGTTTGCTATTTCCCCGCCGAACCCTGCGTCGAGCCTTTGTATGTAACTTGTCAAATCTGACGGAACGATCGGGCTGTCTGTTGCTATTTAGAGCCCGCGAGTTGCTACACGATGAAGCACCGTTGCACGTGGCCTGCTGAAGGCGCTTGCATCTCCTCGCGTTGGCTGTCTCTTCTGCAGAACCGTGCCGGGCGTCTGTGGGCTGAGATGCGCTGATCCCATCAATTATGAGATCTGATTCTTCATCTGGGGCTCTTCTTCCCAAGGAATCCATGCTGTGTTCCGAGTCGGGGGCTAACGCTGGGATAACTTCTTGTGCGGCATGCGGACTGTAGCTACCCCCGGCTTGGGTAGCTTCATCACCACACGCATTGATGCTCCGTGTTTGCCGAAGAATATTATCCCATCCTGAAAAATACTGACAGGGTTGCGGTGTTGTCCCTTGTCCTGAGTGAAGCCCCGAAGGGAGCATAGATCGGTTGATCAGGTTCGCGGTTGCGCACTGGGGGAATTGAGCGTCCCCTGCTTTCCAACTGGCGGTAGTATCTGCAGGCGACGGGGGGCTCGTCGCCGGCGGGCTATTTTCGTACGTTAGCGTCAGGGCGAAGTTCGGCCTCGTGTGGGTGGTGAGATATCTCTACTACCCTCCCCTGTTCTTGGTCTGCTGGCCATATGCGTTTGTTAACCATAGTGCAAATGGCCGGGGGAATGGATCATCATCGGCCATTATACGTTCGGGCAGCGATAAACCAGACGAAGTAGAGAGAGAGGAAAGCTATAAAGATAGAAGAAAATAAAGACGGTTCGAGTAGAGCAAGGAATTCCAAGTGGAAGGGAAAAGGCCCAAACAATCACAGACAGTTGTCAAGAGCACAGGAAGCTTCCAGGGGAAACTCGGAAATTAATCTTAGTCCTGATTTATACCTTGTAGCACACTTTGTGTTGTTGTGTAGGGAAATTCTCATGGTTACTAGTCTTGTTACTAGTTTATCCCGAAGTACAGAATGGCCACACACACTGCGATGGATCATGCCCGTCATGGACAAATCATGACATGGGTCCAGCTCCTGCTCAACTAACAAAACTCCGCAGCAAAGCTAAAAGAAAGCCAAGAAAGAGTGGGGTGATTTCTCTAATTCCGTATAATCCATGGCTGAGTACCATGGTTTGGACACTGGCCTAGAATAAGATTTCCGAGCCGGGAACCCACAGGCATCTTGGAGACTACGTCAATGGCACTCAATGCTGATCCGATACAGCAGGGTCTTCACGACATCAGTTCGGTTACTGGTCTTTCCATCGTATGTAACCTTTATGTAGGGGAAGTCTATAAAGTGCGGGCGCCTGCTGGTGGTTGTTCCCATGAAGAGACGGAAAACTCGTAGTTATACTCCTTAACTAAGACCGAGTTCATTCATCATGCCAACTGCTATCGTGACTGGTGCCACTGGTATATTGTCCTCTCTCTCTCCTCTTCCTCTTGTTCATAGTATTGACCAGGCCGTTAGGTATCACCGGAAGTGCTATTGTCCACCACCTCCTCAAGGATCCTTCTTACGAGAAAATCTACTCTTTTTCACGCAGTAACCCGGGTGTCGAGCACCAAAAGATCCAGCATGTCAGTCTCGACCTTCAGAGCTCCGCACAAGACATGGCCAACAGCCTGCATGGCATCTCAGCGGACTACATTTTCTTTTGTGCATACCTAGCCAAAGAAGACCCAGACGAACTGTCCCGGGTGAACAGTACCCTCCTGGCCAACTTCCTCAAGGCACTGGCGATATCCGGGGCAGACAAGAGGTTAAAGCGATTTATCTTGACGTGCGGGTTTAAGCATTACGGTGTCCACCTTGGGCAGGGTAAGCAGCCGTTTTTGGAGGATGATCCTCTCCTCGAAGACGATGGAAACGCGTCTTGGCCGTCCATCTTCTACTACGAGCAGCAGCGCATTGTGGCCCAGGCTGCGGCGCAAGGGCAGTGGGAGTGGGTCATCACGCTTCCAGAGGATGTTCTTGGCTATGCTCGAGGCAACTTCATGAACGAAGCTACCTCGATCGGGCTCTACTGTGCAGTGAGTAAGGCGCTACCAGGATCTGAGCTGCCCTATCCGGGTAGCAAGGCCAACTATTTCACGTTCAACTGCTGGACCTCCGCGAACCTGCATGCGAGGTTCTGTCTCTGGGCTGCATCGGCCCCCGGAGCAGGGAACCAGATTTTCAACGTGATGAACGGTGATACCGAATCGTTCCAGAACTTATGGCCCCGGCTAGCACGACGATTCGGATGCAAAGTCCCCGATCCCCTGTTCCCGAATGGGGGCGTGCCCAATTCGGCGGGTTATAAGGATTATGAATCGACAACCATTCCCCTGCACAATAAGCCGCCTATCAAGATTAAGGCATCCAGCTTGGGGCTTTCTTCAGACCCGATTGTAGACCAACCACCGACCTTGTTTCTCCAGGTAGATCCCATAAAATGGGCACAACGAGCGGATGTCAATGAAGCGTGGGCCAAGCTACGTGACAAGTATCATCTCGATCAGAATGCCTGGGAAAAGGCAACATGGGATTTCTTGGTCTTGACCATGGGTCGCGATTGGAGCTGCGTAGCGAGTATGAGCAAAGCCAGGAAGCTCGGATGGACGGGGTATGCGGACACATGGGACGAATTGGAAGAGACGTTTCAAATCCTCGAGCAAGAGGGAGTTTTGCCCCCGGTGGATCAATTGAACCGGGATTTTTAGTAGTGTAGCGCAGGATGAGACTTGTATGAGTGCTTAAATTCCTTATCCTTTCTATATGATGAACTTCCTTCCCTGATATCACACGACCACAGCATGAAGGTAAAGTCGTAGATTTCATCTCGCCCGCAGGACTTGAGTTGAATAATTGGTGTCTTTCTGGACACGGATACGTTTATAGATTCTGCGTGGGCTGGTGTATACCGTAGTGCCATCCGTTCCCTACACAACGGGAATCAATGTAGGAGGATGAAATAGATTGATCGTGTCTTGGCCAACTGCTTACGCCCTACGCCCTACCACCTCAAGGAATTAGGAGGTAGTGAGTTGTATCTCACCTAGCGATGTTAATTCCACCGAACCTTTTCGGATTCTGTGACCTTGACGTCATGAGTTTTCAAGGTCCCAGACTTATGCAAACCTATATAACATTGGAACGGCGAGGATATCCCTAAGCTGTCAAAGTTGTATGACCCTCGTGTCATTAAACAGTTCAATTAAAGACTTCTCATCGCGGTTTTCTCAAAATGTCGACAACCGGAGCGGGCCAACATGTTCTTCTGACGGGGGCCAACGGCTTTGTAGCCTCCCACATCCTAGAGATCTTAATTGAGGTATGTCAAACCATGGACTAGGGTTTTCCAGGTCTATTCCAGTTTACTCACCTGCGGCTAGCGCAGATATACCGTCACGGCCACGGTTCGGTCGCAAGAGAAGGCCAACGATATCCTCAGGACTCACCCGTCGTGGAAGGGCCGCGTGGAATTTACCATCGTGGCGGATTTCACTTCCACACAGCCGTTTGATAATCTTTCCAAGAACGCAAAAACCCCGTTCAACTATGTCATTCATACTGCATCTCCTCTCAGGTTCCAGGTATCGGACATTCAGAAAGAGATGATCGAGCCAGCGGTGATGGGGTAAGTTTGCCTTGTTCAGCCTCAACAGCTTCAGATTCTCCTTCGCCACGATGGGAGCTCACATCGACAGAACCACGGAGATCTTGAAAGCTGCTAGCCATTACGGCGGCGCTTCCCTGAAACGATTTATCCTGCTAGGGAGTGCAGTCTCCGTCTTAAATTCCTTTGAGGACATGTCCAGGGAAGGGAAGCCATATACCGAGAAAGACTGGAATCCTGTAGGAATACTCCCCGGCCCTCCTTACTCCAGGGTAAAGGAATTATCTCACACGGCTCTAGGTAACGGCGGAGCAAGCTATCGAACGGAACGACCCCGTTCTGGGCTATAATGTATCCAAGACCCGGGCGGAAGCCGCGGCGTGGGAATTCATGAAGCAGAACTCCCCAGCTTTCGACCTAGTGGTGATCAACCCCGATATCATCACAGGGCCCATGATACATCCTATTTCTGGGCCCAAGTCGGTCAATGAGACCAACCAGTTTGCCATTCGGAGCTTCATCGATGGAACCCATCAGAAGATCGAAGGCGTGACGTTCCCCTTCTACCACTTCGTGTGTCTTCCTCTTTCGTTACCTGTGTCTTGAGCACAACGCAAATTATTTCTGAAAAGATCTCTGGCTCACGTATTTTTTTTCCCCCTAGGTGGACGTCCGCGACGTAGCTCGGAGCCATGTAGATGCACTAACCAACACTGCAGCCGCAGGCCAGCGCATCCTTCTCATTTCAGGCTTAATCGCGCCGCAATTGGTCGTCAACATCATTCGGAAGAATTTTCCTGCCCTCAGGGATCGTGTGCCCGAGGGGAATCCCTCCCAGAGCTTGCCCCCAGGGGTCCATCCCACGGGATGGGATATGCGGACAAGTGTGGATATTCTCGCGAAGGGCACTGAGGAGGGTAAATGGAGCTATATCGACCTCGAGACTAGCGTCACTGATGCCGTTAACTCGATGATTGAGCATCGTACCATTTAAGCTCTCAAATGTCTTGCTTTGAGTAGTTCTGTTAGGACGAAGTTAAGCTACTAAACTGACTGTGTCTGTGCTTTCGTTTCTTATTAGTCAAGATGGCCAAATAGTGATTGTCTCTTCCCTCTTCCCATTCAATATGGAATTATACGTTCTTCTCCGTCGACCAGAATCACCCTCTCTGGCGTATAAGAAAGACAAACTCTTTACTGCAGTCAATGGGTAAACACTCTGAGGCAGAGTTCAATATTGCAATGTATTTTCGAATTAATCAAGCTTCTAGGATCATATCTCGCGAAAAAAAGAGGAAAGATAGCCACTGTATGTTCCTATAATACAAAATATTAGAAACACGATACACCACAATTAGTCAAAAATAGATGCTTTCATCGAGTTGGGCTGGATATAGTCCGACGCATTGCGGAAGCTGGTGAACCCCCATCGGATCTGAGCGGCCATTGCAATCTCCACGTCCAGTTCTTTGGCAAAATGCCACGACAAGCCCGTATCCCGCTGGAATGCCCGTCCAACCAAGATCACATCTAGGTCGTGGTCCTGCAGCAGCCTCTCCGCCAACTGTCCATTGTTGATCATGCCCACTGCCGCCACGAGCATCCGGTCTCCCACTGCCCGTTTGACAGCCGCCGCAAAGGGCGCCTGGAAGGCCGGCCCAGCAGTGATCTTCTGTCCACTATGTACCCCACCACTGCTGATATCGATCAGGTCAATACAGCCCTGTGCTGCCAGGCGCGGGCAAATTCCACCGTGTCCTCCAAGCCCCAACCCTGTTCGCCTGGCCGATGCTCCAGCCAGTCCGTCGCAGAGACCCGCAGGAACACCGGCATCTGGTCCCCCACCGTCTCACGGGTCAGTTGGGCAATTTCCAACGGCAGCCGGATCCTGTTCTCGAAAGACCCTCCATACCGGTCGGAGCGCTGGTTCGAGGACGGGCTCAAGAACGAAGAAAGCAGGTATCCGTGGGCGTTGTGGATCTCGATAAAATCGACTCCAACCGCAAGAGCCCGTTTCACAGCGGCCACCCAGGCATCCTTGAGCTCCTGGATATCATCCAAGCTCATCGCCTTGGGGACGATATCTCCCTCAGCGAAAGGGATTGCACTCGGGGCCTTGACATGCTCGACCCAGCCTCCTACTGCATTGGTCGCAGTGACACCCCCCAGCCAGGGCGCGACGGTGGACGCCTTGCGCCCTGCGTGGGCCAGTTGAATCCCGATCTTCTGCCCTTGGCTGTGGGCGAACTCCACCACCTGTTGTAACATCGCCTTCTGCGAGTCCTTCCACAGACCCACGCACCCGGGTGTGATACGGCCTTCCGGCACCACGGCAGTGGCTTCGATGATCATCAGGCCCGGGCCGCGTTGTGCAATCCCGCCATAATGCGTCAAGTGCCAGGGAGTCATATGGCCGTCGTCGGCGCTGTATTGGCACATGGGCGCCAGACCCAGTCGGTTTTGGAAGGTTTGGCCGCGGATGGTCAAGGGCTGGAAAAGTTTGGGGATGGGCTTTCCACTTGTCTGGGGATCACGCGCGGTGCCAGCTGGAGGGAACTGCGCCGGCGTGAAGAACGGAACTCCCTCAGCGGGCTTGCAAGGAACGTCTGGCCAGTTCGTCATTGTTGTTTGTTGAGTCAAGACAAGGGGAAACGTGAGGTGATGGTGATCTGGGAGGAAGCACTGAAGCAATCGATGGGTTCGGCGATAGAAGATGAAGCAAGAGGCACTGTGGTCTATTTTTTATATACTTTTTTTTTTTCTATCGGCTGTGTTATAGCCAGCAATTCTAGGCAAGGCCCACGTTAGAGTCCTATTGCATCTTGGTAATCATTTTCTCTCTCCCTTCTAGAAGCATTTCCAAATGCTTCGATTGAGCAATCTGCATAATAGTCAGCAAAAACACATTTGTAATCCTCTGCATTCTTGTTTGTTGGTCTCCGATTCTAATGATGGCTGGGATATTGAATCTCGGAATTAGCTCTCGGGATTATCCTTCGGATTCCTTCCCAACGGAATTAGGGTGTATCCACCCACGCCTTAATCAACTTTCGGCTTTACAGTGGATAGATTAGCCAATGTTTATGACCTACTAGTATAGCAGTGAACTGTTCTTCTGCGAGTCCCGCCCGATTGCCCGATACGGGTGCCGCCGCTTTTATAAGGACAGTATATGAGCTGTCCGGGAGCCATCAGTGAGCGCTCTGGGACACTCACTAATTTTTTACTGAGCACGCACCGACCGCTCCGGCTGCTCCTAGAGTACTCAGGTAGTCTATCAGCCATCCCTCTAACAAATCCAAGAGCAGGTCATATTGCTGCTTTTTATCCATTATGTGATATGAGCTTAGTCTATAGATTGTATGCACACTAAATTCCGCGGTCTGTAAGTCTCCATCTATACACTTCCATAAGCCCTCACAATAATTAGGGCTAAATAACTTAGCTCGAACAATGCATATAATAATTTCTCTTGTAAAGTGCAAAGTCGCGTGGGACTCGGAAGAAGTAGGTAGAACCAACTCCAGCTAGCGACTACGTAGACTTATATTTTTAGTCCTAAATATATAGTATAAATTGAGTATACTCTTCTCTTGCGAGCTTTTATTTCAGAAATATTATTCTATCAATGATAATCTCTTTTTGTGATATTCCCGATATTACTATCTCTATACTTTTGCTACACCTAGAGTGGCATAACCTAACCGTTGTAACCTAGCCATAACCTAACCTAACCTAACCTGGCCAAATGCCAGTCTGTTTATTTAGTTGACAGGTCTTCTACCCTGACTAGTAGATAATCTTGACAGTATAAGAAAGTAAAAATGAGGGTGGGACATAATACATTACCCTAGGATGTTTAGATGCGGAAAAGTGGTATCTGCGAAACTGTTTATTTATTTATGTTGATTGGGAACAGTAATTATTGGCAGCAGATTGCACAAGGCCTACTATTCTCTAGAGAATTTTTAGGACGGAAATGCTGTACAAATGATAGGGCTAAGTGGTCCAGAAATGAATGTGCATTTCATGCTCTACTCTCTAAGTTTTCCCCTCTCGTGGCTATTAATAAAGAGCCGTGGTGTAATGAGATTTCCTGCTTACCCTTCACATGCTGTCTGCCATTCGGTTTCCTGGGCATTAAGCGGGAACACAGCAATTATGGCTATCTGACGTGTAGAGTGATCATGATGATCTAGGCCACGAAACTTGTGGCCGAGCAGAGGGGTAGAACTGATGGATATCTTCCAGTCCCCCTGCCTCGATGTATTAGGATTCTCTAAGCTTTAGTCTCGTACTGAATGGACCTACTAGCCACGCCTAAGCTCCTTCCATTGCATTTCCTTGCCTACTCGACAGGTGTTCTACCCTGATAAGTAGTCCCGTTACACGTGGGATGATGGTCTGAGTCATTCCTCTCTACGATATCTTCTCATTTATAAATTCTATGCCTGAGGCCCTGCCCAGTATAACCCTGACGTTTCTTCGAGGCCGATAGATTCTAGTTATTCTAGTTTTTCGAGCCTTGACGCAATACTAGGTCATTCACGGATCTGGCTTTTTGCTGCTCTGTATAGAGATATTGCGGATGGGATAGATAAGAATCCAAGTCGTTGACTTCTGGCTTAACAGGTTTATCCATGTTCTGAACATAGGTAGGCTTTACTACTCATTATAATTAACTTCGAAGCTTGCAAAAAACAAACAATTATACACCGGGTAAAATTGACAGAAGTATCATTCTTCACCTAAGAGCGGGCTGAACGTGTTGATCTATTTGTCTTGTGCTTCTCCTTCCCCTTTACACAAACGGTTTCTTTCACTCTCCCACAGTATCTAAGGCCAAATGAATACCCTATTTCTTTCAGTTATAGACAAAGCTAGCACCCAATCCGTCACGTGGACTGTCCCACAATCTATCTCCTCTCAGAAGGATCTCATCCGGTTTCCACACATGAGACGCCTATAATCTCCTCCAAGAGCGTCACTTGCTTTGTAGCCAATATCCCAAGACGAAAGGTCGAGATTCACCGGTATTCACCAGCTGACCAAAGCAAGAAAAGACAGACTGTTATAGAATGTTGTCCAAAGGTTAGTTCTAACCTATTCTGATAATGAATCATAAGGCAGCCGTACATACCTAGCCATCTATTTACGTTTCAGGACAGCATAACTGTGCATGCCTTCGAGATCGCTGCAACTGTGGGGAGCATCGCCCGGAGTGTAATATTCTCCATCACAGTTTTTCCCTTTCCAAAAAACAATATTATATGGTTCACCGTGGGATTTATACTCGGCAGACCACCAATTGGGCTCAAGCTTTTCACAGCTACGTGGTCTGCCATTGTCTCCTGCTGCACCAGGTTGCCAGCCCTGACATTTGTTGTGGGCAGAATAGAAACCGACCGACCAAGCTTTGGCAAGGGGGGCAGAGGCGAGAAAAATAATACTTAGAGAAGAAAGAAGCTTCATGGTGGTTTAACATGCAATGAACTTAGATCTGGATGTAGAAACGATGAATTTAGGGATAGAAGTAGAAGTCTCTCTGGGGGAGAGTACGATCACTTTATATCTTGCAGCTGGACTGCATCTTCCAGCTCTGGTACTTTCATTGGACTGTTGGAAAGTGTTGGATAAGCACCTCTGTAGGGCAGTGTACCTGTAATTTTAGTGGGTCCTCCTTCATCATTGGCTGTGTCGTCTAACTGGAGACTAATGACTAATAAGATTGATATCCAGTATAGACATATGTATATTAGTATTATTCAGATCCCAACACAGATCTTCCTCTCAGCATTGCTTTTATAAATCAAAACAGGACAAATTCTTATCCTACACGAGGAAAATGTGGACCCTAAGGCACCTGCAACCGTCGCCATTCCCACGCAAAACGGCCACCTGACAACATCAGGATCTATTGCTTCCTACGAACAGTCAGAATCGCTAGTTAGAGTACCATAAATCTAGCCTAAGTGACCTAGGTAACTAGAATGACACATGTTCCAACCCACCTCAAACCTGTTTGGGCTACAGAGTGTGGCAGTGTGATGCTACTCTACAACACTTTGTGAATACTTCTGGACTCCGATTGGTTTGAGGTCTGGACCCCTATACGTATAGTTACCTAGCAACTCTTTGTAGACGCTCAGAGCCACTGGATATCAATAAGAAAACTGGGTCACATATTTTCGGACCCCAACTGTAAGCTCTGATCAGGCCAGCAACGTTCCATCAGGGTTGCTGGGCGCTTCTGAGCGGAAAATATTATACTATTTCCCTAACATTGCAACAAGAGAGCTAGCTTTGTAGAGCGGCTTGCCATAGTCTTGAACAATCACACGACGATGCACCCGACTTTGAGTATCAGGCGTTCCACTATTTTTACTCGGGGATCTGGAGCAAGTGCGGTTGCGAAGGGGGCAGTGACGCATCTGTACCAGCGCGACTTGATGATCTTTTCCGCCCAGCATTGCTGCTATACGAGCGGGTTCTTCCTTGAAATGGTTTCTTCAGCTAAGGGCGTAACGAACCGTGCTGACTTGTGACATTTGGCTTTTGCCAAGTCGAGCCCTTGGCGAATGTTTGCAAATACATCGTCCTCTTTTTCATCCACCAGAACTGTCTCATGAAAAAAGAGTCTGGCAATATTGACCACCCCACTGTCTGATGCTTCCTGGAGCAGCATACCTTCTTCGTCCCTCTCAGGGTACTGCCACGAGGTCTTTCACGACGAGTGGCACGTTTGATTCTCCTTCGCGATGAGCTTTCCAGCAAGTTGTAGCCCTCCCAGCAACACAAGACGTCCGTTTCATAAGTTTATCTAGAATGATGCGTTCAGGCTGTTAGTCGCATAAAATATCAATGAAGCGTTTCCCATCCGAAGAGCATATGACGCTTGGGGTCATATCCTAGCCGTTTATAGTCCATTAATAGATAGCCAACAATTACGGATACAAATCTTGACCCGTCCTTGTTGATATCAAAAGATTCTGATGCAGTGGCTCCTGCCCTATCAAACTCCCACAATCGCATTATAGAGATCCACAGAGAGTGAAGTCCAGTACGAATCGGCGGGTGTCTTGTGCAGTGAATACTTCGCGCACATATCTGCCCAAATCACGCCACGTCCTTGACGCCGTATCAAGTTCGGGGTTGCTTTTTCAATTCACCCGGGGTTAAGATACGAGACCAATAAGATGTATGGCCGGGAGCGGTTTTGGACTCAGTCGACAATGGCAACATCTAGCTTCCGACTTGCCGTAGACCCCTGTAAGGGTTGGGAGGCTGGGCCAAAACTGTCCTACACAAGGACAAGTGAGGATTGCCTTCTATCATGAACCTTCGAAACAAGTCGACCTTTGGCTTTTTATTCTAGTCGAGTTGGCTCTAGATGGGCCCCAACAGGGAAAAGACCTGAGTAATAGATATCACATGGTACAATAGAATCCAGGATAGATGACCATACGTATTCTCACGTTACAGTATGAGAGTTAGTCTATAACAATTTATACAATCGCTGTTGGCTTTCTACTTCAAGAACAGCGGTCTATATGTATCAAATCATCCCACTATATAGAATGTCTACGAAGGAGAGGCAGGGTCCTAAAAGTGTATAGCTTAAAGTGATGGAACTTGTAGAAATTTTACCCTCTAGACGAAAAATTCACCCGAAAAAGAATCTCAGTAATTAATTAATTTGGGGCTAGAAGCCATTTAATGAGGGACTTTGTATTAGCTGAAATTCTCAATGGCGGTGACACACGTCGATTACTGCTCATGAAGTGGACCTCAATCGCAAATTCGGAGGCTTTGTGATATTCCATGCCCTCAACTAAATCAGCACACGCACTCCTGCCTTGCTCCACGCTCCGGGATCAATCACTGAGCAAAAGCGGCCCTGAGCTAGACCCATTCCGGAAAGGGAAAGTCGAAAAGTTTCCGCAGAAAAACAGTTCGCTAGTCGGAGGTGTCACTGCTGATACTATAATCACTGCTGCGTGCATGGCGATATCAAGGTTGCATCGGATTGACCTAGTAGTACTCTAGAGCCCCAAAGATAATGACAGGGTCAAAGAAAAAAGCAAAAAGAAAAAAGAATAAAGAAAAAAGAAGATCTATGAAAACTACATAACTATCTCATCAAGTAAAAGTAAAAGACTCCCGCATCACCCAAAGCCCTCCCCTCCATAACGCCGGCCACCAAGTGCTCATCCACATATCGAAAATGATCAATGACGGGCCGATCATCATAGATCATGGCTGTGGACACGACGCCCCGGAACACCATCTCCCGCAGCTTGGACGTCCCATGGTTAGTTCTCTATTTAGTTGAAAGGGGTTTGGGTTGGTTTGGTTTACGTACGCTGGCGAGTCCCCACTGCCCCCAGCTGGCTCTTTGTCCATCCTGTTCGACAATGACCGGGTCGACGAACTCGGCCGTCTTGAACGATTTCCCGACCCATTGGATCTCCCGGAGAGTGTCTGCGACGGGATGGCCGGTGTCGAAGAACCCTCCGTTCCACTCGCCGAGGAGCTGGGCCGGTTTGATCGGTGGCAGTTGGTCGAAGAGCGCATCTAGCGTTGAGGGTTCGACCTTGCCCGCTGTCTGCGTGAGGGCGATGTATTTCTCCTGGGCACTGAGGAGATAAAGCAAAATGTAGTATTAGTACTTTTGGTATTCCCTAGGGTGGGGAAGGGGGTTTGCATCAAGACTTACGATGACATAGTTCTACTAATACTTCACGGTGCTGGCTGTGAGGGTGGGAATCAATGCATGCTCTTTCTAGTTTTTTGCGCCGGGGCGCTCACTTTATATATACCAACCGTGGACGACATGCAGCAAGTACTTTTGCTGAATAATACCATGAAAACTAGGGGAAGGAAGATGGGATCCGACTTCAGGTATAGAGTGCATGGAGCAGGATCATTCCCACGCCCTAGGGCACAATCGCCTCCCATAACATCAAGACTGGTTTGGAGCTCGGACCCTCGCTGCTCAATTCTTGACAGGATTCTAAGGTATCCGGAAGAGATTACTAGGCAACTGAGGAGGGGGTGGGGGACTACATGCTACAGATGAACTCGCCAAGTCATATATCATTTTACCTTAGTTGGTGGCTACTTCGCCATGAAATAAAGACCCCACTGCCTATGATGAGTCTATTCAGAATAAATTCCAGCAAATGCTATTGATGACACAGGAAGGGATCAGAGGCTCCTACCTCAGACAAAGGACCCAAGACAAGGCCTGGAGAATAGGGATTAGCAAAACGCCTACGCGTGTGGTCTAGAGAAGCTGGGCTTACCAAGGCCACAAATAAAGGAGGATAGAAAGCATCTCACCGCCGTTGTATTTTTGATGTGAAAACAAAATTCATTCTTACCCCTTCTTTTTTTTTTTTTTCTTTTTTTTTTGTCTTCATCCTTTCGGGCTCGGGGCATCGTTGGTTAACAATCGCCACCGATGTGCGCTCTTCCGGCCCTCATTTAATGTGACGGAGAGTTTCAACTTCCCGAGAGATTCCTAATTGCTTATTCCGAGCAGCCCTAACTCGCCTACTTCATATACAAGGCCATCCAAAGGTATAAATGAGAGGTCAACCTACTCCCCCATGGATATTCCCAGCTTTGAAAAACATCCAACATTTACAACTATCGTATTCTATCAATTTCATTCTTTCTAGCATCCATCGTTTTCTCCGTCCAGCCCATAGTGATTCATCATGTCGCGTGCAGGACAACCAGTTGATGCCTCTCCACTGGGCCGACCCCTGGAGTTCCCCTTCTCCGGCCGGGCTGCTCGTAACCGTTTCCTCAAGGGTGCCATGAGTGAGCGCTTGTCTTCATGGTCGGAGGACAATCTGTCGGCGCGTGGCATTCCTTCTCAAACGCTGGTGGAAACCTATTCTACCTGGGGCCAAGGGGAGATCGGCCTGATCTTGACGGGCAACGTCATGATTCATCCGCAACAGCTAGAGACGGAAGGCAACCTGATCATCCCCGCAGATTCGCCCTTCGAAGGGGAACGGTTTGAGCAGTACCAAAAGCTGGCTGCCGGCGCCACCGCGAAGGGTTCGTTGATCGTGGCCCAAGTGAGCCACCCCGGGCGACAAACCCCTTATCATCTGCAGCCACATCCCATTAGCGCCAGTGAAATCCAGTTGGCCGGGGAGGTTCTGGGCAATACGTATGGCGTCCCGCGGGCCGCCAATGACGACGACATCCGACAGGTCATCGAGGGCTTTGCCCATGCCGCCGAGTTCCTAGACAAGGCCGGGTTTGATGGCATCCAGCTCCATGCGGCCCATGGCTACCTTCTGAGCCAATTTCTTTCGGAGACAACAAACAAACGCACCGATCGCTACGGCGGCACGCTGGCCAACCGGATGCGGCTGATCCTCGAGATTCGCGACGAGATTGCGAAGAGAGTCCGCCCAGAGTTCATTATCGGAGTCAAGGTGAACAGCGTGGAATTTCAGCCCAACGGCTTCCAGCCCGAGGAAGCCCAGGAGCTGTGCCGGACGCTCGAGGACCACCGCTTTGACTTCGTGGAGCTGTCCGGAGGCACCTACGAAAACTGGAAGATGCACGACGAAGGCAAGCGGGATTCTACGAAACGTCGGGAAGCCGTAAGTTCACCCTCAACCCTCTATATTCTAAGTTTCCAACCGCACAGCATATTGACCGGTACATTGGGACAGTTTTTCCTGGATTTCGCCCAGATGATTGTTTCCTCCCTCACCAAGACCAAGTCGTATTTGACCGGTGGCTTCCGTTCCGCGGAGGGAATGCTCAAAGGCCTAGAAACGTTAGACGGCGTGGGTCTTGCTCGTCCATTGTGCCAGGAGCCATTCCTCTGCCGAAATATCCTCCAGGGTAGGGTTTCCGGCGCCTGGTGCCTCGTATCAACCAGTATGATTTTGGATTGGCTGCCGTTGCCGCCTGCATCCAGATGCGCCAGATGGGGACCGGTTTGGCACCGATTGATTTGAGCATCCCGCAGGGAGCAGACTCGGTGACTGCGGCGGTCGCTAGCTGGGCAGAGCGGAAGGCCAAGGATCGATCTGAAGCCGCTATCCAGCCTCCGGTCGTGCCGGGATATGCCGTTGCTTTGACGGTGTCAGCCTAGATTTAGACATGTGTAGTATAGATGCTTAGAGTCATGAACATGTTATCTGATAGAATTCCTAAATGAGGACAAGCACGCATTGTTACTCGTATTTCTTCTCTTTGAAAAGTACTGGAACAAATTCAGAGCCGGATACATTTCATGTAACTATACGAACAAGTGCCGCCTTGTTTCTCACGGTGATTGCCCAGGGAGATCCAACCTCGCCAAAGAGACGGTGAGCACCTCTGCCATGTGAAGAGGAGCACTGGCAAAGGGCACAAACCTCGCTACAAACGGCTCCCCCTCGGTCGTGACCTCTGTGGGGACTCCATGCGCAGCCCCGTTCACCACCGGCCACGCAATCCGGATCGCCGCGACCAAGATCACCATCGGCGGGGCGCCTCGCTCGTAGATAGGGCTGGGGAGTGAACTTGCCGGGTCCGTATCGTGATTCGCCCAGTGTATGGCGATCTGAGATGGATCAATCGCCACGCGCCACTCAGCTCCCTCCTCGGGAACGAGCATACGATCGCGAAGTTGGGGATATGTTGGGTCCGTTGGCAAAGGATCCACGTTCTTTTTCCAGTGAGTGGGTGCTGTGCTGGTCTCGGTGTAGGCGATGTCGAGGGCGTAGAGCAACGAGCCCCAGTAGATGGAGACAGCAGAGGACAGTGGCCGGTGCACGACCCGAACTTCAGTACCAAGCGTGACAATGAGCTGCGACGATCCGGCTGGAATTGTGAAATGGAAGACATCGCCGTGGTCGCGCACCAGAGGGATTTCACGTCCGCCTGGCAGGTTGGCGCGTGAGGACGCCGTCGCCCAGCTGGGAAGCCGAGTGTAGAAATCGAAGCTCTTGGTAGTAGTGAACCTATAACTTATTATCTGGTCAAATGGATAGTGAGTATCGACTGTGACGGAAACATGGCCTCCATCAAGCTCCATGGAGGTCTCCGCAGGGATGAGAAAGCGATGGACCAGGCCGTTACTGCCTTTACGAACAAATGCAGAGCAGACCAGCTTTGGAAGACCTTGGTGATGGTTTACCAAACAGCACGGCTGCATTATCACAAAATGTCAGTATGTACACATTCGATTATATCAAAAAACGTGCCGGGAGCCACATACATAGTCTGGCTCCAGCCCGAATATATTCCCGTACGGGCTCACATCATAGAAGGGCCGACCGTCCAGTCGCTTGATCCATGGTTGGTTGGACTGAGTGACATACTGATGGGTCCACCAGTCTGGCGAAATGCCTCCTGGTAGGGCATTGAAAGCCGCCTGCTCTGTGAGATCGGCGTAGTCGTTGTCACCGAAGAGACGATGCAGCCAGGAGAGGGAAAACATTAACTCCACAGCCATGCACAGCTCGGTACCGCGTTCTGGACTCAGCCCTCCAAGGAATTCATCGCTCGTTATAGAGCCAGACGGGGTGCCGTGGTGGCGGAAGGCCATGTCTACAGCCTCCCGGGTTTGGCGGGCGAGCTTATCATCGTGGTTCATCCGGTACTTCTGTGCCATGTACCGTAGCCCTAGGGCAGTGTATGTTAGTAAGGCAGATCTAACATGGCATGAGGACAGTGTGTGTAAGAAATCAACTATGCTAACCTTGAGCCACGTTGATTCCATGCTGGAAATTAGGCTGAGGTTTAATGGACGCTGAGGTAGGAAATGCACCTGGGACAAAGAACTTGGACCAGTCACGACCACCGATCTCAGCCCCTGTCCACATTAAGTCCATGGTATCCCAGATAACTGATCGGTTCTCATCGGCTACATTCTCGTAGAGCCACTGAAGCGTGGTGGAAAGTTCGTGAGCCCGGGCTAGCCCAAACTTGAGTGGATCAAAGCGATCGCCCTCGTGTGACAGGTAGCCCTGATAGTTATTCTGGATCATGCTGTGTGCCAGATGGGTGAACTTCAGCATCGACTCGATGATCTCATCTCTGCGTCCCGGGTCAGCCTGCGCGTGTGCAGCCATACCAAGGAGCAGAAGACACCGCGCCCACAGCCCGCGGGTTTCTTTGGTGGTTTCGGGGCCCAACCAGCCATCCTCAGCTTGGTGAGCGATCACGTAGTCAAGGAACTGATTCGCCTGGGCTTTGAGTCGCTCATCGTCCAGCGTATATGCCAACGGTACGATTCCGTTGTACCAGTAGGGCGCTGCTTCGTTCAGCTCACTGTACTCTTCCGTGCCGCCGAGCCAGGAGCTGTTCTTGACATAGCGGTAGAAATCGAACATGTGGCCAGCTAGCCCGTCAGCAGCCAGGCGAAGCTGATCTTTCACCCATCCGCGTGGCTTGATTGCACCGACTGGGATTTCCTCATATTTGAACGACACTAGCTTTGCAGGCGCCATGATAGCTGGACGGTCCTCAGGTATAGCTGAAACACAGTGGCTGCTGATACATTGAAATAGGAATGAATCATTTAGGGGATTTCTAGGACAGTATAAGCTGTTGGAAATCTCCCCGTGGGGAAACGCCGGTGCTCTCGAACAAGACCATCTTAGGGTTCGAATCTCACGGAGCGGAACACAATCCGAATGGTGGGATAAGCTAAAGGATCTTCATGGACAAAGAGGAGAAATCAGGCGCTCTAAGCAATGTGCTGTGACTTTTATTGGCTGGTCCGTTTACCGGCTCATTGATATACTAAGTTACTAACCCTACAATGAGACCCTGCTGATAGTTGCTGGTAGTAAGGTCTCTGATAGCCACTCGACCCTCGGGAAGTGATACCGAACCTCCAGGCTTTCATTCTCCAGGTTCAGGACGATTGGGCACATCTCTGGTAATTCTCCGGTGTTTGGCGTCGTGGCTAGAGCAGACAAAAACGGGCGATACGAACATGGAGCTATGATGCAGCTATGTGAGGACCATGGCTATATAGATAGGGTCCGGTGGCACCAGATCCACTGCTCCACTCATGCATACTATTCGTGAAGCCTTACTGCTAAGCATCACATCAGACTCGTCCAGCTACACTGTTGTCACCTCTTATGCAATCGGTAGGGCGTGGTCCGCCTTGCATACTTCGATATTCACAACTATACCTGATTATAGTTCCTCTCTACACTGCCCACTATGGATGAAGCAATTAAGGAAGAAGGCTCCATTCAACCCCAGAAGTTGGTATCAGCCGACAAGGACGAGGTTGGTCATGTTGCCAAGTACAACGAACAAGACCACGGTGCAGATTCAGAGCTATCACGCTCACTGGAGTCCCGGCATTTGTTAATGTTCTCGATCGGATCGTCGATCGGAATGGCCCTGTGGCTGGGGTCCGGCACGTCGCTGATCAACGGTGGACCTGCGGCTATATTCCTAGGCTATTGTATCGCAGGCTCCATCGCATGGGCACTCAGCCAAGCCATTGGCGAGCTGGCAGTCCTCTATCCCTTAGCCTCAGCATTCCCCCAATGGGCTGCCAAGTTCATCGATAAAGCGCCCGCTTTCACAGTAGGATGGGCGTACTGGTTTTCAGCATCGATTACCCTCGCCAACGAGCTCCAGGGTGTGGTTACAGTCCTGAGCTTCTGGACGCAGTCAGTGCCGACTGCGGTATGGCTCTCCGTATTTTTGGTGGTTATCTTCATCATCGTGGTGTGTGCCGTCAAGATATTCGGAGAAGCGGAGGCCGTCATGTCGACAATCAAGTTATTCTGGATTGTGGTGGTGATTATAAGTTGCATCATCATCAGTGCTGGCGGGGCGCCGAACCATCATAAGACTGGCTTTGAGTACTGGAACTCCATACCTTTTACCAATGGCTTCAAAGGGTTCATCTCTGTTATGGGAACCTGTATTTTCGCCATGGGTGGCACTGAATTCGGCGGTATCGCTGCTGCTGAAGCTCGCAACCCATTGAAATCAGTTCCCAAGGCTGTCAATTCGATTTGGCTTCGTCTGACGCTCTTCTACGTCGTTGGCGGCCTGATGGTGACTATCACCGTCTCACCCAAAGACCCAGATCTCTTCGGTGGTGAAGGAATCAATGCCAGCCCCTATGTGATCGCGTTTCGCAATGCTGGTATCCCCGGCCTAGCACACGCCATGAACGCAGTTATTTTCATCAGTGTCGTTTCTTCCGGGAATGCACAAGCATACGCTGCTACTCGTACGGTGGTCGGTCTGGCAAATATCAACATGGCACCGGCCATTTTCAAAAAGTGTGACCGGCTGGGACGCCCATGGGCGGCCATCTTTATCACCTTCCTCGTGGGGGGTGGCCTCTGCTATCTCAACGTCACGAATTCAGGTGCAACCGTATTCGGATGGTTTTCGAACCTCACGGCTCTGTGCATTCTCTGGCTCTGGGGCACGATATTCCTCTCTCATTTGCGGTTCCGTATGGCATGGAAGGCTCAGGGCCGTTCGCTTGACGACCTACCGTGGAGGTCGTGGGCAGGGCTCTTTGGAACTGTCTATGGGTTGACCTGGTGTATGCTGTTGGTTGTTGTCCAGTTTTACTTGGCTGTGTGGCCTCTTAAGAAAAGAAGCAGTGCTGAAAACTTCTTTGCGAACTATATATCGATCGTCGCTATTGTTGGTCTATATGTTGGTAGCAAGATTTATTATCGAGGTCCGCTATGGATCCATGCGAAGGATATCGACCTAAACACAGGCCGCAGGCACTATGTGAGCGAAGTTCTGGAAGCTCGCGTCGAGTCGAGTTCGGGAATAAAGAAGGTTGTCAGGTTTATCATGGGAGAATCGAGGGTTTAGAACCGAGTGGTGTGGTCTAGTCCGATGGAGCTGTATAGGTTATCCTGGGTATATTCAATCTATGTAACTGACTATCTATGCATGATTATATTTCTCAATCAAACGTTTCGTCTGCTAGTAGAGCGCAGTTTTCTGGTATAACCCAATAGACAGGCGCATCGCCAGTCACTTGTCTTCAATAAGTCCTCTCCGACACTGCCCAAGGGTAACTCAATAACCTAGTCAAAACTGAGACAACTTTATGCCCTCACGCCGGGGATGTTGGCGTCAGCCCGTGCTCAGTTTTCC